AGGAGAAGAAAGCAACCTGCTTAAATCTACATTTTATATTTGAAAGAGAAGGACATCTTTACAATTCTTTTTTTGTTAATAAATTACTCAATTCCGAAAAAAGCCATTTATACAGGAGGAGGGCTAATGAGTTCCCATCTAAGAGGAAGTCATCTAACATAGTTACACATACATACACACATAGCTATAGGATACATACGAAAACACACATTTACCAACATATATACACACATTAGATCAACGACTAAGTAGAACAACAATAATATAAAAAAAGAAGAAAAAAATAGTAACAATGGGCACTGCGATCGTCGTTCGTGGTAAAGCTCCACCATAAAAAAAACAACAACACTCAACTCAAAAGTAGAAAAAATTAAACAGACTGCAAAAAAAAAACAGAAAAAAATGAACCAACAACACGCAATAGGGCAAGGCAAACAACAACAGCGCTAGCTGGCAGCGACGTATGCAGCGACGCCGGCAGCGAGCCGAGCTGAGCCAGCAACAGGAATTTACGATTCAGTGGCTACCTTGTTGTTGTTGTTGTTCGTCTGTGTGTGTTTGTGTGTGCTGTTGTTGACTGCTGGGTGCCTGTGTGAGTGTGTGTGTGTATATTTGTTGCTATTTCACCTGGGTTGGGGCGCTGGGTGTGTATGTGTGTATGTATTGTCTGTGTGTGCGTAGTTGTGTGCATGGATCTTCGCCAAGGTGCGCCTGTGTGCGAGAGCGAGCGAGAGAGCAAGAGCCTATTAGGCAAAACATTCGCTTCCGTTGTAAGAGCGTAAGGGTAAGGGTAGAGGTAGGGATAGGGGTGTGTGCAACCGGACAGTGAATAATAGACAAAAAAATACAGCAACAACAACAATAACGAACGTGTGTAGGATAAGCATAGATAGAAAACACAAATAACAACAATTATTTTTTTTGAGCTTGAAGAGTTGCTGTGAGAGAAAAAAAAAACCAATTGCGCAGCGCTTATAGGATTCCAATTTGAAAATTCGTCATTCGCCTGTACGCTTCACTTGTAGAATTTACAGTTGCTTACGTAATCCCAACCAACACACATGCAAGCGCCTACACACAAACGCTCCTGCGCACGCACACACTGACACACACACATTGATAAAAACCCAACCGATGGCGACAGACAATTTAAGTTTTGTTGTTGCAGTTGTTGTTGTTGTTGTATTGAGGCCTGCGTCGCTGGCTCAAGTTTCCACATGTTTTTCCAATTGCCGCAAAAGCCAAGCCAAACCACATGCACACACACAGACACACACACAGATGAGATGGAAAAACCAAAAGGCCCAACCCGAGACCAGCCCGACGGCCGCCCAACCCAAGTGCCGCCTATTGCCCTTACAATTACGACCACAACGACAGCGAGTGGAAGTCAGAGAGAGAGAGAGAGAGACAAAGACTGAGAGGGAGAGAGAGGGTGAGGCAGGGAGAGTATAGAAAATCAGCGGCTGCTGCTGCTGCTGCAGCGCGGCAGTTGTTTCTAGCTTTTTCTTTTTCCATCCATGTTTTCTTTTTAACCCCGTTTCGTCAACGTTGCTGGCACGTCCGTTCGTCCGCCGTCAACGTCGCCGTCGCTGCCACCTCTTCCTCCACCCCTTCGAAGGCCCAGCGTCGCGTGCAAGGGAAATTAAAAATTCAAAAAGTCAAAGGCGCAAGCACTCAGAGAGAGAGACAGAGAAAGAGAGGGAGAGCAGCAGCAACAACACAAGTGTAGAGATATACAGAGAGAGAGAGCGAGCGCACAATCGTTTGGAGACTTGGGGACTTAGCGATCAACTGTTCGTTCCTTTTGTGAGAGCGTTACGTTGGCAGCGCTGCTGCTACTGCTGCTGCTTCGCGACGACGACTGCGGCCGACGGATGTAGGATTGCTGTCGCTGTTTATGTGGATGTGGATGTGTGTGTATGCATGTGTAGCAAGAAGCTCATAAGCGGGCAAGAAGAAGAAGAAGAAGAAGCAGTAGCAGCAGCAGAGGCCTCGGCCGTCGCTTGGTTGTCGTTTAGGAGCCGAGGATCGCTCAGTCAGTGTATTGGTGTCAAACGAGACGGACGAATTTGGCGGCAAAGAGATTTCATTGCGTTTCGTTCGCTCGCTCGTTCGTTCGTTCGTCCCCCTCCTCTATTTTTCTCTCTCACACTGAATTGTGAAAATTTCCATTTGGAAATTGGGCAATGACAACAATAAACCAAGCAAAAGCAAACTTAAAATAAAATACATACTACGTGCAAAAACAAAAAAATAAAAATAAATTAAAAGTCAAGCTAAAGGAATAAAAACAACGGGAGAGAAGCAAAGAAAGGTGCATACACAAAAGTCACAATTTATGTGTATAAAATATTGAAACAAGTCTACAACAAGTGTGAAAATCATTTTGCCAACGAATCGACAAACGCCCATTAAAACTGTTTCAAAAGTCGCCTGAAAAAATGTATGTGTGTATGTATGAATATTTGTCTGTTTGCCTGTTTGAGGCTGTGTGTGTGTGTGTGTCGAAAGGGGGTGTAAAAATAAGCGCGTGTAAAGTGATCTCCGCAGTCCCGCCTCCCACCCCTAAGCAACGACGACCGCTTATCGTGCGCCCTATCCGTGTGCGCCTGTGCATGAGTGTGTGTCTGTCTATGTGTGTGTGTGTGTCTGTGACTGTGTGCGTGCGTGCGTGTCGGGGCTGCGCAGTCGGCTTCCTGCGCGAGGACTTTGACTTATTCACTTCACTCGTATTCGACTTGTACTCATTCGTTCGTGTGGCCTGCTCAAGTGAGGACGTGTCAACGGCTTCACTTCAAGCAGCAAGCAAGCAAGCGAGCATAACTTTTTACAACTCACCAAGAAATTAGCAAGCGAATAATAAATAAATACCAGTGTGTGTGTACAAAGTAAGCAATTTGGTAAACTTTTTTCTGTGCGTGCTCGAGACACAAAAACAAAACTACAACTGACAAACACAAAAAAAATGTATATATACTCTTGTAAGCGCACAAATAAAAACTGTTCATTAATGTCACTGCGCTAGATCAGTGAAACAAATTTTTTTCTACTTCTGCAAAAGCTGCAGTGGAACTTTGAAAGCTCGTTTGCTTTAATTTGCCTTTGTGTGTGTATGTGCGTGAAAGAGCGGCAAGTGTCTAGCGCTCACTCTCTCTCTCCATCTCTCTCGGCGTCTTATTCTCAGCGAGTTTCTTGAGTGTTGGGCGGCCCATTCAATTAATTTGAACAAGTGCAGCACAAAACAATAACAATTATTACAAATACTACTAAAAAAAAAAAAATAATAATAAAATTAGCAAAAGCATAAACAAAATATTGAAACGCTAAGAAAAAAGCAAAAAAGAAAAAGGAAAGGCATGTGTAATATAATTTTTGACAGCAAGTGAAATTGTAAAAAGAATGATTTTCAATTAAGTGTACATAGTAGTCTTGCCGCGATAAGATAAGAAGAGCGCGTTAGCAGTTGGCAAACATTAGCAACAAGTGCATATTGGAAGGAGAGTGCTGTGTGTGTGTGCGCGCACTTGTACACATATGTATACGCATGTATATATGTATGTATGTGACTCACGCTAAGGAGTTTGTTGGACCAAAGCGAACAATAAAAAAAAAGAACAAAATGAACCAATGTGATAAGTGCTATGAACAATATTTATCAATGTGTTTGTGTTCGCTGGCTGGCATTCCATTCCATTGGCATGGGAATATTGTGTGGATCTGGATCGTCGTCGTTCTACTACCAAACTTTTTTTTTTGCGTTTGTTACTCGCACAATTTAATGACTTTTTTGCTGTAGCTGTGTAAACTTTTGCTCATTCTCCTTTACACAACTAATATGGCTCTGTCGTTTCCGTATGTGTGTGTGTGTGTGTATTTGTGTGCTCGTTTTTGTGTGTTTCTTTAAGCCTCCACACACACCCTTTGGCAAGTTTTCAAGTCTACAGAGTTAATACAGTCCGTAGAACTTAGCTCTGAATATTAAAGTGAAATTGCTTGCCTATATGCAATTATTCTTCAATAAACTAGAAGATATGCAAAGTGAATGAGAGAAATACCCAAATTAACTCATTCCAAGTAGTAATGAGAAAATTCCCTTTAAAATGTCCCTTAAGTGTTCATGTCATTCCTTTAAAAGCTCTCTCTCGCTCTCTAAAATGTCCAGTAAGAAATATTTGCATATAACAATTTGACTGAATATTCCGTTTTTTTTTTTGTTAAACGAACTTATTAAAATTTTATTTTTTAATTCAAGAGTTTATGATAATTTTCTATGAAAAGTAAAATTTTGTAATAAAGGACAACGTTTATATGTCAAACATATGCACTTTTTTCATGCATTGAAGTTCTACTGGGTTGCTCACGCAGGCAAAAACAGAGTCACAGCCATATTCTCGCTCCGTATTGCGATCGGTGCGAGCTTCTGTGCATGTATTGTGTGTGTGTGTGTTTATGTGTGTGAGTGAGAGTGTTGTTTTTGTGTTGCTACTGCTGCTTCTGCTGTTGCTGTTATGGTTATTGTTGTGACTGTTGTAATTTGCCCATTTGAAACACATTTGAAATTTCCATTTAGATTTCCTCATTTAGTTTAGTATTTTTTTTCTATTTCTTCTGTTTTCCTGCCTGCGCCACTCTCTCTCACTCGCTCAGTCGCTCTCTCTATCTCTCTCGCTCTGCCTGCATAATGCTCGGACCTTTGGCGACTGTTTGACCCGGCGGGTCGTCTCTTAAATTAAATTTGGTTTGCATTTAATTTATGAGTAGAGTGACGACGCGTCGAGCAGCTAGCTCATGAATGCCCCCGTCCCTCCCTCTCATCACCCTCTTGACCCACCCCTCGACCCCTTTTCAAATGTGCACAGAGTGCTCAATCCTTTTGTCATTTATATTATGGGGTTGGAATTATCTGTATAGATAGGATATAGGATATAAATGTATATATATAGGATATAAATACAGCTTTATTAAATGGTTTCTTTTTACGTCTATTCCTTTTGCAGCATTCTTTGATATTAACGTCAAAATGTTAAAGTGTTGAGCACAACTTTGTATACTGAAGGACGTCAAGGATATTATATGTATTGTACATTTGCTTGCATGCAAAAAACAAACAACAAAAATAGAAAGAAAGAAAGGAAATCGGAGTTTTATTTATTTTGCCGACTATTCCGCTGCTCCACTCGCTAATATTGACCAACCCGAAACGGCTTCCAAATGAAGATGGCATCTCAACGGTTTTGTCTGCGCTGGAACAATCATCAGAGTAATCTGTTGTCTGTCTTCGATCAGCTACTGCACGCCGAGACCTTTACAGATGTGACGCTGGCCGTCGAAGGACAATACCTAAAGGCACACAAGGTACAATCCACTCGGCAACAAGTTGACACAAACATTAACTAACTCATTGTGTGTGTGTCTCTCTTCTTTTTGTTTCTCTCAATGGTGCACAGATGGTGCTATCCGCGTGCAGTCCATATTTCAATCAGCTGTTTGTCAATCATCCGGAAAAGCATCCGATTGTCATACTCAAAGATGTGCCCTATTCGGATATGAAATCCCTGCTGGACTTTATGTATCGCGGCGAGGTGTCTGTTGATCAGGAAAGGCTCACAGCCTTCCTGCGCGTCGCCGAAAGTCTGCGCATCAAGGGCCTGACCGAGGTCAACGATGATAAGCCCACGTCCGCGGAAAGCGCACCGGCGCCACCGCAACTGCAACGCATCCAACCGTACCTGGTGCCGCAGCAACGCAAGCAGCCGAATGTCCTTGCTGCAAGTGCAGCAGCTGCCGCCTTGCAGGCTGCCACACAGCCATCGCTCCTCAGTTCCGCCCTGATGCCCAAACGCAAACGTGGCAGACCCCGCAAGCTATCCGGCAGCTCCAATGGCACTGGCAACGATTACGATGAATACGAGCGCGAGGGCCTCATGAATGTAAGCTAAACAATAGACTATATATATATATATGATGTTTTTATCACTGACTAACTAAATCATTAATTTGGCAAACAGGATTCGGATTTGGGCAATGGCAAACTTGGCAACGACTCATATTCCGGCAATGATGATGGCTCCGATGACAACCAGCAAGAATCTGCGAACAATGATGATCTGAATGTAAGTCGAGCTCTGCTTCCTCTTCTTTTGTCGATCAGTTAAACTCATTGCTAATCTTTGACTTGCAGGAAAGCCGCGACTCACTGCCCTCGAAGAGATCAAAGAGCGGGAAAGATCAGCGCATGGCACAACAACAACACCACCAACAACAGCAGCAGCAGCAACAACAACAAGACGACAACAGCACTTCCGGTGAGTTGAAGATGTTTCAGTTTCCGTTTCCGTTTACGCATTTCATACGCATTTATGCCAATATCCAATTCAATTCAATTCAATTCATTCAAAAGGCACCCATTCCCCATTTACATTTACTTACTATTCCTAGCTGTAAGCAAACCAAAAAGCAAAAATAATTGTAACTTTATTTATTGTATACATATGCATTCTCTATAGTCAATTAATCAGTTCAGTTTTTATATATATATATACATATATATATATAGAATACAAAACAAACAAAAAAACAACTAAAACCGAAAACAGCACCAGAAACAAAACAAATTTTCTAATTTAATTTATATCGTAACATATACATTCGAAAAGAATTTCGAACATTCTCATCTGCCAAAAACACATTTCGAATTGTGACATCGGAAAAGCTAAAAGGGATTTACGCATTTCATAAAGAGCAGAACAAAAAAAGTATTACAAAGAAAACCTAGAACAAAAATCGAAACCAAAAAAAAAAAAACAAACAAAAAAACAAACACGTTTTTTGATATTTAACGCGTCGGTTAGTGAAAACTGAAAGTTTGTGAGAAATTGAAAGTTGAGTTGAAAAAACAAAACATGTTTTTTTTTGTTTAGTGTGAAGAATATTTGAATATCGTTTTTGTCGCGCATTTGCTGAGTTTCGCATTTTCTGTTAATGACGCATCCTGCGAGCGCCAGGTGAGTGCCCCCAATGCAACTTCAACAACAACAACAACAAGAACAACTACAGACGCTAGTATGATGCCAAAAAGAAATGCAAATCCACAAATGCTAAACAGATTGAGACAATTGTCGAAAAGTTGATAATCGGGTTGAGGAGCTCACAGGGATTTATGGCCGACGCTTAAAATATAATTAAATTGTATAAAAATAAAAAATAAAACAAACGCAATTTTTTTTTTGTTGCCAAAATTTAAATGAAAAACCGCGTAAGCCAAAAGAAAAAAGCGACCAGCTGTTAGAATTATTTACTCATAAAAGAATACGTTCGACAACCAAATGCTGAACAACTCTTTAAATTTCTCCATTCCCAACCATGAAAAACAACTATGAAAAACACTTTTCGAACAACGTCACGCGTCTTGCAGTGCTTAACAAAAACAACATCAACAACAACAACATTTAAAAAAAAAATACAAAAAAGAAAATGGCTTGAAATCCCTATAGCTTTTCCGATCCGATTTGAAACTAGTTGCCTACTCGCTCTCTGATCATTTGTGTTTTAGCCATTGCTTTTGCATAATGCTCACACACACAAACACACACACACACACACACACAAAACACACACACACACGCACTTGGCACACTTGAACACAGTTAATAATTTGTTTTTGGGAATTTTACATATTTTAGATGGGAACGATAGCGATGGCGATGCCATGGACACGTCGTACATGGAGCCACAGCTAATGCTGGATGAATACGATGAGCCCGTGGAATTCAAATACAATCCGCTGACGGACAACAACTCACCCACACAGGAACAGAACACGGCGACAACGGACAGCAGCAACAGCCATCAGCATCTCAACGAGCAGGCGCGTCAGCAGGCGTTCCTCATAGCGGCACAGCGCAAGCATCAGGTGGAAACCGCTGCATTGGCAGCCAGTGGTGGTGGCGGTGGTGGTGCTGCTGCTGCCAGCAGCGGCGGCGGTGGCTTAAGACTCAACATTATTGGCATTGCCGGCGGTGGCACTGGTCCCGGTGGCAAGTCAATGGTCAGCATTCCGAAATTAACGCCCATTGGCAAGGTGAATGCCGCCTCCACGCCACTGGTATCGCCCGCATCCTCATCGTCGTCCAAGCCGCGCGCCCAAAAACGGCCCAAGCTTAAACAGAACGGGGATATGGCCAAAAATGCGTATGCATCCGGTCAGGATTATCTCGATCTGTACAATAGCAGCAGCGATGGCTTCAAACTAAAGTCCGAGCTACTCGGCGGCAGTACACCGAATCTGAGTAGCATCGGTGCCGGCGCTGGCGTTGGCGTTGGCGTTACGGCCGCCGTGAAGACCAAACTCAATCTCAGCAGCAATATTGGCGAGGGCGAAACCGAGGGCTCCGTGCGCGACTATTGTACCAAAGAGGGGGAGCACACGTATCGCTGCAAGGTCTGCTCGCGCGTCTACACGCACATCAGCAACTTCTGCCGGCACTATGTGACCTCGCACAAGCGCAACGTCAAGGTGTATCCGTGTCCGTTCTGCTTTAAGGAGTTCACGCGCAAGGACAATATGACGGCGCACGTGAAGATCATACACAAAATTGAGAATCCATCAACGGCGCTGGCCAATGTTGCCGCTGCCACGTTGGCCAATCAGTCGTCGCTTGGCGGCGGCGGCAGTGGCAGCGGTAACGGTGGCGGTTCAACAGCGGTGGCAACAACGCCAACGCCGCCCGATTTGAATGCACAGAATTCGAATCAATCGCTGCCAGCGACAACAAACAATGCGCTATCCACCTCATCATCGTCGTCCACGTCATCGTCCAGTGCCTCGTTGGGCTCGCTGGCAACGGCAGCAGCGGCCGCTGCCGCGGCGCAGTAATCTCTACTAATTACAATAATAACAACAACAAAAACAACAACCATAAAACACAAAAACCAAGAAGCCGCATATTCCAAAATCAATAACAAAAAAAAAAAGAAAAGAGAAAAACAAGAAATAATGACGAAAATATAAAATAGTTGAAATTCAGCAGAGGAGAAGGAGCAAAGAGAAGGCAGAGAAGGGGGCCAGGCGCCAGGCGCCAGTCGCCAGTCGCAACAGGGACAGGGGGATGGGGAAGGGGGGAGGGGTTTGTATAGGCTAGGGGGCATTTGCAGCGTGTTAGTTAACATTTGAAATTGTTAATTTTGTTTTTTAGTTATCTACACTTTACTACGCTTTGATTGTAAAGTTAATCGTTTAATCTCAGCATGATGAAAAGTTTCCTCTGTTGAACGTTATATTTACGTTTATATTATTATTATTTTTTTTTAATTTTTTACTCCGCTCTTATAATTTTTAATTATTTTACAAAACGATATATGTTGTGCAATTATATAATTTCGATAACGGTTACAAACTTTAGTTTAACCCGCAATTAGAATGCAAACAAACAAAAAAAAAAAAAAGAAAGAAAGAAAAACCCCACTATAAATACCAATAGCGTTAACCAACACTTAGCATTATGAAAAACAAAACAACAAAAAAACACCCTAAATCAAAAAAAAAAAAAACAAAACAAAACCCATTATTATAAAATGTGTACTATATATAAAATGGAAAATATGCTTGTCCATTTTGCATTGGGCGATTTTCATTTGCGCACCGCAGCGGCCTTCAAAAGCAACAACAAAATGTAACCACAAAAGTTACACTAAAAACTAAAGCTAGGACAAAAAGTAAGAGCAGCAACAAACTAAACTAAATCTATTGCACTTTTAGTTAACGACAACCCCTAACTATATGAATATATATATAGATATCAATATCCACACACACGTCTTTGGTATGCGTAGCTGTAGCTCTATTAATTAATTTATATACATATATATATATACTATATGACATATATATATATATATATATATATATATATATAATGAACATTATGATTATCATTTTGTTTTACGTTTAAATGTTAATAATATGTGGGAATATCGTGTGCGAGTGGAAAGTAGAAGCGCAGATCTACCTTGTTGCCTTCAAATGAAGCTAGTTGAAAAAAAGTAAATATGAAGAAAGATTGGATCAATCATTCAATCGTTCAATCAATAAACACATGCGGATTCAAATGCTGCACAGCTCGTTCAAAAGATTGCAAATGTTTCGTTCGAGTTGTGTGTGGCAAAAGTTAAATGTTAATATTATAAACTAATTGTAAAAGCAACAATAATATACAATATACAATATTAATGATAATGATAATAAAATTGTATGATTATGTTTATGTTTATTATTGGATAACAACTAACGTAGTCTCTAAAACCAACTATGCAAATAATTTATCAATTTATTACATAATTACAATAATTACAATTAAAATTTATGTTGTATATCGGAGGCTTAAATTATCGCCAAAGAAATGAAGCAAAACAAAAGCAAAACAAAAACAAAACAAAAACAAACAAAACAAAAACGAAAAGAAGCAAAGAAAAATGCAAATGCAAATGCAAACATAAAAGAAATTCAGCAGCAAATTAAAAAACAAAACACAAAATCAAAAATATGTCAAGCAAAAAATGAATAACGATCTCCAAAAAACAACAAGTTAAAAAAAAGAAAAACAATTTTCATAAATGAAAAGTAAAGAAAAACTATTTAATTGAATTTTTTTGCAATCAGAAATCAAAATCAAAAAAACACACAGCACTAAAAACAATAAGAAAAATGCAAAAATGCTAAAAAAAAACAAAAAAAAAAAAATCTAAACAAAACAAAAGAGCAATCAAATAATCTGTGTAATAAATAATAAACAAACTGCGTGTGTACGCTAATTTATTAAATATAATTTGTTTTTAATTCTTTATTTAGTGTTAGCTAGTGCAATTTAGTTAAGTAAAACGCTCTATCCACCAACTATCGCAATCGATTCAATAACTATAGCTAACCCAACAGCAACTGCAACAGCAACAACCACCACAACAACAACAACAACATCTTCTATTTTGGCATTAACACACAGACACACACACACACACAGACCAATACACACATACACATATATAAATACTTATATTGTATGTACTATATATTTTAACTTTAATTTTAGCATACATTTTATATAAACACATCAATGTTTTTCTGCATTCAAGCAATGTAACTAAGACTCACACACACACACACACACACACACACACACACACTTAAAATTTATTTCCAACTCGAAAAATAAAAAATACAGAGCAGAGTTCTTCTATATTAAAAAAATAAACTTCCATTTTAATATCTATATAAATAAAGATTAAACAGTCATGCCTTTTGATGCCCAAAGAAACGAAAGAAAGAAAATAATAAGCAAGATTACACATAATATATATATGTATATATATATATATTAACCAGAACTTGTTGCACAGTTGAATATGGCGAAATGTGGCAAGCAAATCTTCCAATGTGAGCTAAAATGTTATGTGTGTGTGTGTGTGTTAGTTAACTTGGTTAAAACACACACACACACACATCGATACACACGCGCAAAAAAGAAACGTAATCAACAAATTGTGTAAAATTAAACAATAATAGCAAATCACGCAATATTATTTTGATTTAAAAAACAAAACATATTGTTATAGTACATGCATGTATTGGTTTTATTACGAAATACGATAAATGAATTATTATTATTATATCGATTAACTGGCAAATGCGAAGAGAAATAAAATACAAAAACACACACACACACAAAAATAGTTCTGAAAAAGAAACAATTTGTTTGATTTTTTACTTATTTATATATGTATCTTTGAATATTTTCTCTTATTGTTGTTCTACAAAGAACCAATTCTATATTTGAAATATCTTTGAATATTTCCGTTTATTTCTTTTTATAATTAATTTTTTTTTTTTTTTGATATTCTCTGATATGTATGTGGGAATGGAAATATATCGGAGGACATACAAAAAAATATATATTTAAAATTTAAATTTTTATTCGAAACTTAAATATTTTCGGCAAGCCGAATTTGGTATGGATTGGACCCCATATGCTATGTATATAGAGCTCCCATTGGGACTATCAGTTGAAAGCTGAGCACGTCGAGTTAGGCATGGATCGGATATATGCTTTGAATAGGGACAACCAGTTGAAAGTTGAGTTCTTGAATGAATAATTATTGATTTATTGATTTCAAAATGAGACTTTTTTGTTGCTCTTTATACATTAAATGATTAGCATTTTGTAATGCTTTGGTACGTACTTAATCTATGCTAATATCCTATCTTAATATATATATATTACATATGATTTAATGTGTTCAGTTTCCTTGTCCTTTCTTGCAGCACAAGCGACGCCCGAGCTGTCGCAGCGACTCTTTGGCTGCTCAGCGGCAAGTGGCACTGCCTCAACTGGAACTGCAATCGAGACGAGCAATGCGAATACGCATGAGGGCAGTGATAGCATCGCCTCCGCACCACTGCATCTGCCCACCATACTGGGCCTGAAGATACGCGCCATCAATCCGAGCAATCCGACAACGTCAGCGTTGCAGCAAAAGTCCAGCAACAGCAATTCGCTGCTCAAGCAGCAGCTGCGTGGCGGCGCCAAGGATCCCGAAACAGTTCAGTTGCCAAAGTCAGTGGCTGCTCCGCCAGTGCCTGTGGCTGTGCCTGTGGAAGACCAAGGCTCCAAGACCAAGGATGCACAGCAGCAGAAGGAGAGCTGCAGCGCACTGCAATCACTGGCCAATGCAGCTGAACGTCAGTCGCAACAGGCGCCCAACAACAGCAGCAGCAACAACAATAACAATAGCCTGCATCAACAGCTGCTGCTGCACATGGCCGCCACTGGGAATCCAATGCTGAAGCACAATGCTGCCGACTACTACCAACAACAACAACAGCAGCAGCAGCAACAAGAACAGCAGCCATCGGCTCAGGCATCGCCAACGGCTGAACCACAATTTATGGAGGGGGACATGGAGCTGATGTGCGTGGTGGAGCCGCAGGACAAATGCGATGAAACAGATCATGAGATGCTAACGCTGGCGGATGAGAATGCCGGTCTGCCCGGCTATCAGGCAGCCGATGGCTATGAAGAAGCCACAACAACGGCCACAACGGAGCGCAGTGAATTGGCCAGCTCATCATCGACCAGATCGAAGAGCTCGACACCGAAGCGACCTGTACAGCGTCGACGTGTGCGTCGGAAGGCGCAATCCACACTGGACGACCAGGCGGAGCATTTGACGGAGATGTCGGTGCGTGGATTGGATCTGTTTCGATATGCCAGTGTCGTTGAGGGCGTCTATCGCTGCACCGAATGCGCCAAGGAGAACATGCAGAAGACCTTCAAAAACAAATACAGCTTCCAGCGCCATGCGTTTCTCTATCACGAGGGCAAGCATCGCAAGGTGTTCCCCTGTCCCGTGTGCTGCAAGGAGTTCTCGCGTCCCGACAAAATGAAAAACCATCTGAAGATGACGCACGAGAACTTTACGCCGCCCAAGGATATTGGAGCGTTCAGTCCGCTGAAGTACTTAATATCTGCAGCACCTGCAGGTGATATGCACACAACGCTCTACCAACAGCAACAACAGCAGCAGCAACAACAGCAGCAACAACAACAGCAGGAGCAGTTGCAGCGTCATCTGGAGGAGCAGTTGCAGCAGCAGCAGCAGCAACAACAACAGATGCAAGCGCCTTTTGAGTGCCAAGACAGCGCCTTGCTGCTGCCCGATGTCAAACAGGAGCAACAGGAGCAGGAACAGGAACAGGAGCAGCATGATCTACATGACTATGCGGCGACAACGCCCACTGCTGCAGCAGCCGCAATGTTGAGCCTGCAGAATGATGTTATCATCAAGAATGAGATACAAATCTCGCCATCGCCGTCACCATCCCCGCCAGCAGCAGCCCTCTACGAGGGCAAAAGCCTGCCACTGGCATCGACTGCGGCACAAACAGCAACGTAAAAGACTTGAACCTAGAAGGCAGTCATCGAAGGATACATATGTATCCACATATTACAGAGTGCCTTAATGAATGATTGAAACGCAACAACTGTAAAATACTTAAAACACTTAAACGATAAGCAATTGTCAGAACTCAAAAGAAAGAAAAAGCCACACTCAACACGAATAATAGTTAATGTAATTTGTAAGGCTCATTTAGTTGACAAAATGTAGCTAATTTCAGAGTAGCAATAACTTAAAACAAGGTTCCGTCCATAAAGCCTTAATTATTAGTAGTAATAATAATAGTTTAGTTAGTTTTATATATCTAAGTATTTATAAGCGTTTAGTTACTAAGTAAACTGCAACTGATTAACTAGTAGAACATTTTAAGTAAGTCCACTGCCTGAAAATGCACTTTATTTTATTATTTTGATTTCTTGGCCTTATTTAAAAACGCAAATGAGAACTTAACTTAAATTAATAAGTAGCAAACGATTTGTTGCATTAATTGCATAAGAAGCGCTCGAAGCTAATCCAAATCGATTAGGCGCCGTCCAACTAAATTTAGTCGCTACTTAGAAAACTTTACTCGTTATTGCGCCAGCGATTTCTCTTTAGCAATTTTTATTCATTTTTTTTATAATTTTTTTTTTAATGTGATTTTGTTGAACTGTATTTTGTTTTAGACTTTCGTTTAATATGTGTTTATTTTTGTTTTGTAGTTTATAACTATTGTATTACGCTCAATACTCAAAGTCCGTAGAACAATTGGTGTGTTTGATGTTCGCAAAACATGAGACCGGCAACCCAATGAATTGGCTATTTGTGCAATTATTAAAAAATAACATCGTGGCGAGTGACGGACCCATTCCACATATATTACTGGGTTCGTTGCCCACGGACATGTTTTAAACTTAATTACCAACTACTTAATTATGATCTAGCTAACTATTAGACTTACATTCATACAATATAGCATATATATATATATATATGTACTGATTAAGGCATTAATGCGCAATGGACTTCCAGTGAACATTTACTGATATTTTTTCTTAAGCTCAACAAAGGATATAGCGACTATAGTTGCGTCTAATTAAATCCATCACACAAAATCGTACAAAATCCGCACAAATCGTACGCACAAAAGTCCCTAGCATTTGTATTACATACATACATACATACATACATACATACCTTTATATATGTATTTCGATTTCAATATTTACTTAAAGCAACAATTACGACTTAAACTAACAATGCGCTCAATAAATAGATATTATGCAATTTTTAATTTATCTGGCTTATTAAAATATAGTGTATATTTTGTATATAATATAAAGTTATTGATGTCTCACAAACTGTAAGGACAAATATCCTGTGAACAAATCAAACTCACAGTTACTCGCAGCATTCTTCGTTTTAAAATGCGCGCTCCTCATATAATCGATTTGTGTGCAGCAGTGCTGCCATCTATCGATTGCCCAAACAGGACATATCGAACAGAAAAAATCCGAAAAGAGAGGACGAGCTGAACGTACACTAAAGGGAACAATAATAATTTTAAATTGCTTGTGAGCTAAAAATGATTGAAAATAAAAGTAAAAACTTTAACATATATATTATGGTTTTCTGAATAGATGCAGTTTGCCAAACTTTTAAGCATAGCAATTTTTGTGTGGGGCAAAAAGGTAAAACACCATCCCTATGAAACAGTGATAATTCGGCTATCGATACTATGATCTCCGCAGCTTTGCCTATTTCGTCTGACAAACGGATATCGAATAATAATACAACAACTGTTACGAGTGCGCAACTTCAAGGCTCTAATAGGCTCAAGAATTCGAGGCAGTGCGCGTTACATTTAGCCAGCTCCTATATTGCACGAGGGAGGCGCAGCCATGTCAAAGCGTAGCGGGGTCATCGCTCACCTCTACAATAACAACAACAACAACAATGTTGGCCGCACTGCAACACATTTCTGTGTGCAAAAGGACAGGGATGTTGATGTGGAGAATCATCAGCGTCGCAAGGAGCGCAATAAGCGAAGCGTCAGCTTCAAGGCGACACGATTTCAGCACAAGGGCGATGTCAAGCTGCGGCCGCAGGATGTGCGCCGTTGGGATGAGGACGAGGACATGAGCAGCGAGGCAAAAGAGCGTCGTTGTGTCCGTCGTCGCGGCTCACCCATTCTCAGGTGTGACAAATCTGGTAAATTGCAGACGAATAGCTTTGGTTGGTATCAGGTGAAAATCTTAAATTGTCACATCTATGACAAGGACACATTGATGCACTCCTTGCTGGCGGCGTTGTCGCCGCTCGTGTTCGAGCCGCAATATTGGCACATGGAGCGCGAATGTGCCAAATTCTACACAGATGACCTGGAACTGGCCGAGCGCATACAGCAGTTGGGCCGCAAAGTTCAATTGCCAGATGGATTCCGCCTGATGATGCGTGTGCGCAGCGGCATACCCCAGGTGACCATCGACGAGGAGTTCAAACTGCGAATGAAGATGGTGATGTCCAAGCGGTATAATCTGCAGACTAAAGCGATCGATCTGTCGCGCTTCCATGCCGATGTCGATCTAAAGCCCATCTTCTGTCCGCTCTTCCGTGTGAATGTGATGTCCACGGCACTGGATATAATCTGCGAGAATATACCCGATGTGGAGGCGATTAATCTGAACAATAACAACCTGTACACCATGGATGCCTTCAAGGGTGCCGAAAAGCGGCTGTCACATCTGAAGGTCATTCATATGGGTGATAATAAGCTGACGTCGCTGGCGCATCTCTTCGTCCTGCGTAAATTGCCCATTGTGGAGCTGGTCTTGCGCAATAATCCATGCCGTTCGCGCTACAAGGATTCACAGCATTTTGTCCGTGAGGTGCGTCGTAAGTTTCCCACATTGCTGCAACTCGATGAGGAAATATTGCCGCCCCAATTGAACATGGTGCCTGCCAAGGCATCCTATTTGTGCGACAGTGCTGGGATGGAGGTTGTCCGCCAGTTTCTGGAACAGTATTTCAACATCTTCGATTCGGGGAATCGACTGCCACTGCTGGATGCATACCATGAGCAAGCAATGCTCTCGATCTCAATGCCCTCGATTAGCCAGGCGGGCCGGCTGGACAGCTTCTGGAAATTCAATCGTAATTTGCGTCGCAATACGACAGCCGATCGGGAATTTTTGCGCATGCGTCTTTTGAGCAGTGGCCGTTTGGCCTGCGTATCCACGCTGGATGAATGGCCACGGACGTTGCACGAACGGCACACCTTCACTGTCGATCTCACCGTCTACAATCCGCAAATGTTGTTGGTATTTACGGTTACCGGTCTGTTCAAGGAATTTACTGGCAATGCGGACAGCTCCGCGACCACTTCCGCCCAGCAGCGACCCCATGAGCTGCGCCATTTTGTGCGCACCTTTTTCGTGGTCCAACAGAACACTGGTTTCTGTATTCGCAACGAGACGGTCTTCATCACCAGCGCCACGCTGGAGCAGACAAGTAAATTTATGGAAACACAACAAGAACAGCCGGTCACAGAGCATCCAAGCATCTCATCCATTAACACTAACTCAATTCAGAGTCGCTTCCAAGCGACTAATCCAGTTGCAGTCGCTCAATTGCCAGCTTCAACGGCCACACTCTGTGATGCTACCAAAATGCAAATGGTGCAAGCCATGTGTGGGCAGAGCCAAATGAATCTCGATTGGAGCCGCAAGTGTTTGGAGGAGACGAATTGGGATTTCAATCATGCGGCCTTTGTGTTCGATAAACTCTTCAAGGAAAACAAAATACCACCCGAAGCATTTGCCAAATAATTCCAAATTACAATAAGTGTTAGCATTCCTATGCGTGGTCCTCTTTTTCTAGGCTGACTAAATGTTAATCCCCATTCCAAAAAACTACTGGCCATCTGTATCATATCATATACATATATACACTAACAATAATTGTCACAAATCAATGTCCAAAGAAATACTCAATATGAGCAAAATCATAAAAATGCCTAATTATCATAAGGGTTAAACATGAGTGGGATATTTGCAAAATGTGGGAAATAATGTGGCGAAAAGTCATTGCATACTATTGGGCATCTCACAAAAATGATTTCTGCTGATTGGTGCTGTATACTTTTGGGGATGGGGAAATGTGCAGGGCGGCAAGGAACTACTTTCGGAAATAGCGCTATCTCAGCCAAATCGTTACAGATGGTGCATTGGAATCGCAAAGGGCAACTCTATTAATTCAAGGATTATGAAGTTATCTGAAAACCCAAACTTCAGATAAGAGTGGCAATCGACAATCAATTGAACAAAAAACAATTAGACATTTTCTGTTTGGTTTTAAATTTGTATTTTATTTATTTCTTAAACTTATTGATTATTGGCACGACGATACCAAAACCGTGCCCGAAAATCATCGGAGCAGGTGAGAAAAGCGGGCGCATTTGGCGAATGGGTTATGTATCGAACGGGTCCATTGTGCCCCAGTGAGTTGAGCGTGAGGCGGCAGCCATTGCGAGAGTTCCAAGAGCACAACGATGTGGTCGCCTCATCCGGGAACAGGACGTAGTCTTCGGTGTGGTTGAAAACAGCTTCCGCTTGATGCTCCTGTTTGCCCGTTGTCCCAGCGCCCGTATATGTTTGTATGGGGCGACTGGTGCACAGCTCCCACAGATAAACAATTGAGTCCATGCCCGATGAGAGCAAGTACTACAGAAAAGAAAGAAGGGAATCACTTGTTATTTATATTTTAAAAGTGCTTGAGTGACGCCAGATAATTGCAAATACCTATTTCAATTGAAGAACAAGGTTATTATTATTATTATTTTGGTAGGCTCACCTTTCCGTTGCGTGTGAATTGCAGGGAGCAAATGGCCGCTCCACTGTGGGCTTCAGCAATTGTGTTGATGCAACGACCGCTGATGCCGTCCCATATCTTGATATCGCCATCAAAGCTGCCGGTTGCATAGAGCTTACCGGTGGGCGAATACTTTACGCATGTGACGCCCGACTTGTGCTGCTGCGATGGAATGGCGCTGACGAAGCATTGTGTGGTGTGGACATCGTAGATGCGCAGCACATTGTGCTCCGTGCCAATAGCAATGTAATCGCCTGTTGGATGAAAGGACACGCACAGCACTGGCTCGCAGTCGGTGAGCACCTTGTGCGCCTTCTTCACGGATGGCTTGGCAATGTCGAAGAGTTTCACGGTGCCGTCACGCGAGGCCGACGCTAAAATGTGCTCCTTGGGATGAAACTCCAAGTAGGACACCTCATCTGTGTGATCATACAACGTGCGTATGACAGGATGGCCCTGCTGTTCGCGACCCGGCTCAATATCCTCGGGTGCCGATTTGGCCAACATGCGTTCGACGTCCAGAATCTTGATACTTGCATCGACGCTTCCCGTCGCCACCAGTGAGCCGTCGAAACTGAATGCACCCGCACGGCATGCCTGCTTGTGGGAGGTCACATAGGCCGTTTCATAGGAATGCGGCTCCGGGGCGAGAGCGGATGCCTCCGGCTCAAATTCCAGATCAATGCCGGGCAGCACATCATCCGTATTGGTCTTATCCTTCTCGGCCATTGTTTGCATGCCCGATATCATCACATGCAGCAGCCGCTCACTCGGCGCACACTGATCCGCTTTAACCAGCATCGAGAGTTCCATTGCAAACTTTTCCAAGCCATCGTACATCAACTGGCTGCACATACAGAATTCGCATAGATTAACATTGTGAATGGACAACTATTTACTACATACCTTATCATTAACCGGTATAGTATTTCCCGGTTTTTAACCAAATTATGTGGATCCAAAATTTCGTCGCGCATCTTTGTAAATAAAAATGAATACCAATGAATTATCGATATATTACACAATCGACGAATATTTGGGAAGTATATTAAAATACATCGATTGATTTAAATATCGGCAAATCGTGAGGCTAACATGATATCGATTACAATATATTTCGATAGCACGCACACACACAGCAACAGCTGCAACACGTGCAACTTGTTTTGTTTTCATAGTGTTTTCCGCAATTTTAAACAGATAAACCATGAAAATCCGCAGGAATCATGTGCGCAAGCGTTACCGCTACAATGTTAATCGCAAAACTATGAACAGAACACGCTCGTCCACTGGAAAAATCAAGGAGTAAGTTTAACTGCTTATATCTCAAGCGTTGTTTATACTCAAAAGCGTCTTTTGCAGTCCCGAAATGCAGAAGTTGTGGCTGGAAGGTAAACGCGTCGGCACCAATTTCAAGGAAATGGGCTTGGCCAGCGATCCAAACAAGTCTGTTGGCATACCGAATTATAAACGCAACAGACTCGAATCTGTCAAAATTGTGAAGAAGCTCGATGATGACGAGCTGGCGAGGCTGGACTCCAAGGCGCAAGCTGCAGCAGAAGAGGCGCAGAAACCAAAGCGGGGTCATGTCGTCCAAGAGCTGGAACAAATGGCCATTGACCGACGAGCCGATCCAGAGTTCAGGTATGGATATAAGCGTGGATATGGATCTTTGATTGATTATATTAATTAAAACCAAATGTACATCATTGCTTTATTGCAGATTACCCAAAGGCGTTGTCAAGGAGCTAACATATTTTCTCGGCAAGCACAGGTTCAACTATAGGGCCATGGTCGCAGATCGTCGCAATCACGGTCAGTGGACGTGGCGGCAGTTTCGATTGAAAATTCGTAGATTTATGGCGATTCCGGAACAATTCAACGAATACCTCAAGCAAAGAAATTTACCAATAGGCGTTAAACCAGATTGGCCAGAATACGATTCGGACAGTGAATGGAAATGAAATAATATGACTAAGAATAGTACATAAGCACACTTCTATACATACTTATTTCCTAAATACAAATATACAAATGTTTAATTGATTTCTGGTAAAGATGACATGTCCTTTAGGTTTGAGTTTAACTCTTAAAATGTAAGAATTTTGCTTAATATCAATTGCAATGATTGACCGGAAATAGGAAACTATTTCAATGTATTTACAGGTTAATTCCTTATATTTCTTTATGTAGCTCAACACTTCGGAATATATTGCAAGAAAATGAACTTGATTTATAGAAATCATGAAAAAGAACGCTGCCTGCAGTGAATTGGTAACGGTAAATTCGTGCCCTTCCTCGTATGATGCACAGTCTTGTGTCCGTCAGTGTTTGATTTGAAAATTTCCCGCAATTTTGAATTTGTCATGTGCGCGATACCCATGCATGCCCATGGCGATCCCTTGCCCCAGTTGGTTGGTGGCTACTCTGTCATTTACTCGGCGTTGCATCATCGTGCATCGGTTCGGTTCGGTCACATCGTCAACCGTCAACCGATTGCCTGTCTCTGTCGATTTCGGTCTTTCCGTTTTCTGGTTTCGAGGTAAGTGCACGCACTTGGGTGTGCAGCTTTCATAAAATCCTTAAATACCGTTTACATTAATAACCATCGATTAACTTGCTGCGTGCCAAATAACAGTAAAGTTCTTGTGCTTCTGCCAATATTTATTATTGTTGAATATTTTACAACATTTGTTTCGTCGAGAGGCGATTGAATTTCGTGCGTTTGCCGGCCGGTATCTCATTGTGAGGTTTTTGCATAATAAAGACCAAAGACCTGCAGTGTATGTATGTATATAACGGTATATATGTGCACGTGTATGATGTAAATTGATCGGGATGTCAAATATTGCAATTATAGGAGTGTCCGTTCTGTTCGAAATAGATATGTATGTATTTATTGAAAGCTATGAATACATTTCATATATATGTACGTACATTCGTATATGTGTATGTATGCATATTGTATGCCTATGTGTAAGTTTGTGTCTCCTTGTTGTTTTTGCAAGTTTATCCAAGACGACGCGACTGCAACAACAACAACGACGACAACAACAACGACGAATTCGACCAACGGAAACGATGAACAAGTGCAACCCGAAACAGCGGCATTTTTCCGCTCTCTGTCTCTCGTTCTACACGCGTGTGTGTGTGTGTTTGTGTGTGCAGTTTTTCACCCTTTTGAAATCGCGAATTTTCTGCTCCGGCGACAGAGAAAAGAAAAAGAGCATACGAATGCCGACAAATGCCGGCGATGAGCAAAAGGCAAACGAATGCCGATGCAATCAGCTTTGCAACCACAACAATTCCCACCCCACACACCCCACCCCACCCATCATTGATTTTCACTTTTCTCCTTTGAAACAAATAATTATAATTGTTGTTCAATTTTTGTTATGCTTCAATTGAAAAGAGAGTCGTCCATTAAAGAGGTGAGAATGGGTGGGGGTGATAGTCGTTTCGCTAAGTGCACGTGTGATTGGTTGGGTGGGATGGGGTGGGGTGGGTAAGTTGGTTTTGTTTTTTATGTGGTGTGGGAGTGCATCGCATCGTCGGCATCGTCGTGTCATTCGGCTCCAAAAGTCTCTCGTCGTTTGTCTGGGTTCATTATTGATTTTTCGTTTCGAGAATTTCGAGGCTCGGTTGGTTGCATACTTCTTGTTGTCCAGATTTTCCGGGCATTGACTAACGAGCAGACGTGCAGCTCGCGCAATCACTCTGTCAACTTTCGATAGTGTTGTCGGTATGTGTTTTATTCACAATTCTTTATTGCCTTTCGCGGCTTGCATTGCAAAATTTTATCAATTTTCATTAATAATTAAATAATAATAGATAGTGTTATTTTTACTTGTGCTTCTTTCTAGGACATCGTCAATTGGAGAGCTTGCAAGCGGCAAGTTGATTTCACGACCACTTTCCGGGTGAGTCTACTCATTGCTGTAGTATTTTTGTATAATAAATTTATGTAAATTTTAAGTATGTACGTTTGTATTAAGAATGGATCTAAAAATTGTAACGCTTTTATTCCAGTTCAAAATTACTTTCAACTTGTTTTTCTTTAAAAACAAATATGAAAAATACTTGAATTAATTGCACAAAATCTGAAATGGAATAACTACTAAATTAAACTAACATTTAAAGGTCATGCTAAAGAAAAATCAGATATTATATAGTTCTGAACGACCATTGTGCTTACAGATATTGATAATACATATATATTTTGGTCTCTACACGGCAGAGTCGCGCCCACACCCTCGTTTGACTATACCTACATATTCATATATATTTATATATATATATATGCATGTATCTATGTATGTGTATGTAAGTCCTGCCTATACTCACTACTCGTGTCTAGCACACGCCTTCACTTCCTCTCTCTATCTCTCTCTTCCACTATACTCCACACACACACACTCTCTCTCTCTCTCTCTCTCATTTGTCACCCACGCTCCTTTGGTATATAAATTGTATATATATATATATATGAATAAGTATATATGTGTGTATGTATTACATTTAGGTTTTATAGAGACAACTACTAAGAAGGGAAAACCGGATATTATTGGAGAAGAGCAGCAAACTCATCGTCGTTGATTATAAATATAGTAGAATAACACCATGGGAAAAGAGAAAATCCATATAAACATTGTTGTCATTGGACACGTCGATTCGGGCAAGTCGACAACCACCGGTCATTTGATATACAAATGCGGCGGCATCGACAAGCGTACGATTGAGAAGTTCGAGAAGGAGGCCCAGGAGATGGGCAAGGGCTCGTTCAAGTACGCCTGGGTGCTGGACAAGCTGAAGGCGGAGCGTGAGCGCGGCATCACCATCGATATTGCACTGTGGAAATTCGAGACGGCCAAGTATTATGTGACCATTATTGATGCGCCCGGACATAGGGATTTCATCAAGAACATGATTACCGGCACCTCGCAAGCCGATTGTGCTGTATTGATTGTTGCTGCCGGCACCGGTGAGTTTGAGGCGGGCATCTCGAAGAATGGCCAGACCCGAGAGCATGCTCTCTTGGCCTTTACGCTGGGCGTTAAGCAGCTGATTGTGGGCGTCAACAAGATGGATTCAACTGAGCCGCCGTATAGCGAGACTCGCTATGAGGAAATCAAAAAGGAGGTGTCCTCGTACATCAAGAAGATCGGCTATAATCCGGCCTCCGTTGCCTTCGTACCCATTTCGGGCTGGCACGGCGACAACATGCTCGAGCCATCCGAGAAAATGCCCTGGTTCAAGGGTTGGTCTGTAGAGCGGAAGGAGGGCAAGACGGAGGGCAAGTGCCTAATTGATGCGCTGGACGCGATTATGCCGCCCCAGCGGCCCACCGACAAACCGCTGCGTTTGCCTCTGCAGGATGTCTACAAGATCGGTGGCATCGGCACAGTGCCAGTCGGTCGCGTCGAAACGGGTATTCTCAAGCCAGGTAAGCAAAGAAACGACCTACTACTGGTTTGGTCTACAATTTGTATCTCAATTCTAGGCATGGTCGTGAACTTTGCACCAGTCAACCTGGTCACTGAGGTCAAGTCCGTGGAAATGCATCACGAGGCACTGACCGAAGCCATGCCCGGCGACAATGTCGGCTTCAATGTGAAGAACGTGTCGGTAAAGGAGCTGCGTCGCGGTTATGTCGCTGGCGATTCCAAGAACAATCCGCCGCGTGGTGCTGCCGATTTTACCGCTCAGGTGAGTGTTCCGACATGCTCGATATTATCCACTTGACTTGATCAACCCACCGACTGTTGTTTTGTTGACTACCCCCCCAGGTAATTGTGCTGAACCATCCGGGGCAGATAGCCAATGGGTATACACCGGTGCTGGATTGCCATACGGCACATATTGCATGCAAGTTTGCTGAGATCAAGGAGAAGTGCGATCGCCGTACCGGCAAGACCACCGAGACCGAGCCGAAGGCAATCAAATCGGGCGATGCGGCCATCATTGTGCTGATGCCCACAAAGCCGCTGTGCGTCGAAAGCTTCCAGGAATTTCCGCCGCTGGGAAGATTCGCAGTGCGCGATATGCGTCAGACGGTTGCTGTCGGTGTCATCAAGTCGGTGAACTTTAAAGAGACGACCTCGGGCAAAGTAACAAAAGCCGCTGAGAAGGCACAGAAGAAGAAATAACTAGGGTGTCAGCAGACTTGTAATTCAAACAACACTCAAACACTTCAGCAACAGCAACAACAACAGCAACAGCAAACGGCAACAGCAATAATAACAACAACAACAAAAACAACACCAACAAAAACAAACATAAGATTTATAGTATATATTACTCTTCGACGATCTAAACCGAAACAGGGGCTAAAATCAGAGTCAAAGTCCGTGGCACATCATCAAATATCAGCAACAACTATTAATTGCTGCATTCAAATATTATATAAACTTGAGGAGATATTGCAATTTATTAGTAACAACAACAACAACACACATACAATAGGCGAGGGCATCTGTGTGATGCCAGTCATCAACACAAAATCAAAGATGAGCCAACAACCCATTGATAGTAATCCTAATCCGCACTTAGGCACATCATCCATACCTTTGCCAGCTGCACTTGATGTGAAGGAGCAGGAGGAGGAGGAAGAGAGAGGCATGGCGAGTGGGCGGCAAGGACACTTGGGTCATTTGGAATCATTCCCGTATGCGTACTCAAAATCGATCGCCATCATATTCATAATTATCATCTACTATAACTATCTAAACTTGTTTCGCCACCGCAAATCATTTCGCAGGAAACAACCGTCTGGTTTTGAGACGGAGCAGAATTTCGAAGTCGCCACTGGAGCTTGCTGCTGCTAGCCCAGCCCAGCCCAGCCCAGTCCCCTGCTCTCGAATCGCACCCCCTGCTCTCTTGACACTCATTTTTATCATCACTTAACATAATTTTAAAGCATCCACACCGTTTCAATCAATGGATTTTAAACACTTTTTATACTTTTGATAAGTCAGCCGGAGGCATTCGATTTAAAATCTATTATATAAAGTAATTTCAGAATTTAGTTATAAACCACCATTCTGCCATCACACATAATTAAAAATTAACAAACACATAAGAAAAAGCAAATGCAAAAAGAAAAAAAAAACACGAGACTACATTCGCAATGAATTCAAAATTTCTCCAAAAGGAAAAAGACAAATGCTTAAGAAGTATTACAAAAATATTTATAATACATAATCATGCGGTTTTGACAAACATTCTAAATGTTCAATCGAGCCTCATTGGCATTTGCGTACATTAATCAAATGTTTCTCATAAATGATGATTAACCACATAACATACATACATACATAAATACATACATATGTCTTATGCATACTTAGTACATACATAAACACATAATGCATTCATTGTCGTTACACACTATAAAACTATTACAATTGTAACCCACAATAGAGAACCATTCATGGATACAGAAAATGTTGCTTAATAAACATAAATGATCTTTTAATGTATTAATTGACTAAATAAAAATAAAGAATGCTTAACCGTAACTTACATCATTTTTAGTTGTTTTTTTGGGGAGCATTTCTATGTTTGGTTCATTTCTAAGCTTATTGCATACGGTTTGAATAGCAGGGGATTCTTTTTGTTGAATTTTTAACCGGAACTATTGTGAACTAATCGAAAAGAGTGGCAAGTCTGCCAGCTGACTCACAGGCGGCATTTACAAACAACACAGGCAAGAAACAACAGGCACAGCAGGCTGTGCACAGATTGACGATAAATCATTAAATTATCTCGAATATCTTTGACTATTGTGGCAAATATATATATTTGAGGAGACAACAAATACAGCTCATTCAATAATAGCTCAAAAATGGCAGATCCACGCATCAGGCAACTGGTCATCAAGACAGGTGTCGTAAAGAGGCTGTCCAAAGAGAAGACTGTTTATGAGAGAGAAGTAAATACAGAAATGGCTCGTCTGGAAAAACTGAAAAACGACAGCTCCGATGAGCATGTACTGCGCAAGCAGCAAGAAGTGATACAGGAATGCGAAATGATGATACCGGACTCAAAGCGAAGGTGACGCATAATAAATGAGTCATAAGTCGAAAATCACACTTTATGCATAAATTGCAATTCATTTTCACAGATTGCAAAAGGAGTTCGAAGTGCTGCAAAAATACCTGCAGGATGAATTGGATCTCAAGGAAACGGATGCCTATATTAAGGCCTCAGAAGTGCTGGCCGAGGCGAAAACTGTCCTAGAAGTGTGAGCAAAGCAAAGCGAGCTGCTCTAAATCAATTATATTGTATTTAATCAAACACTCCACTCTCCATGTACCAATGTATTTTTAACGTTAACCAACACTTGTCGCGAAAATGCCGCACCGACACAAATTGAGAGAAATAAAAAACAATTTATGCAACGTATTTGCAAATCTAGAACGTTTAGAGAATTTATGCAATGGACCTCCAAATGACTTTGATTTGGAGCACTCTTTGGAGCTGCAACGATGCACAACAGCAATGCTGGCGCAGCTGGCGGATTTGCCGTGTGAGAAAATTACACGCACACAACAACAACGCCAACGAAGACGTCACAAAGCAAAACAAAAAATGAAGCTTCAAAAGCTCGCGAAGAAGAGAGCAACAAGGAACTCCAAGGGTACAGCGATCCACACCGAATCCAATGAAACATCTACAACGGTGGAGCAGAGACAAGCAGAACATATTACACTGAAGAAATTGCACAGCGCCAAAAATATTCTCCACACATTGGATTTGCTGGAGAGATTGTTCAAGGCGCGCGGCGGCAACAAAGACATCGCACACAAACTGGCCAAATTGCGCACAGTTTGGGGACGAGTCCGACAGGAGTGTAAAAATGCCAACGCTGCAGAGACCACCACGAACTTTAACGCACAATGGGCTGGAGTTATATTTGGAAGCACGTCTCTCACGTTGGAGCCGGGGAAACAGAAAACACAAGAGTTGCTGGAGCGACGGTAAGACTAAAAAAGATTATATATTTTATGTTACATTATATATTCTTTTTCTTAGCATCGTTTGGGACTCGTATACAAGTTATGGCAAGGGGAGCAGCTGCATACCTAGCGGCTGGGTGTTGCCACCTGAGCACTGCACGGCGGAGTGGATGAAGTTTAAATGTAAATAAAATGTATACAATCACATATAGATACTGTGGAATTTTTTATTCTTTAAAAGAATCACTTTAAGACTTAGGTGAGTGGCGGCATAGCATTGAAATGCAGATGTTACACATTGGCATGCATGCATCATCTATTCGTAAATCCAATCCTTGGCTGCTGGAGCCCAGGTGACGAGTTCCTTCTCGTTGAACCAGAGGGCAATCTCCTTTTGGGCCGATTCGACGGCGTCGGAGCCGTGGATGATGTTGCGGCCAACCTGGATACAGAAGTCACCGCGAATGGTGCCAGGCAGGGAGTCGGCAGGGTTGGTAGCGCCCAGCATTTGACGGCCGGTCTTGACCACATTGAGACCCTCCCACACCATGGGAACCACTGGACCGGAGTTCATGTAGTTGACCAAACCGGGGAAGAAGGGACGGGCAGACAGATCGGCATAGTGCTTCTCCAACAATTCTTTCTCGGCCTGCAATCAAGCCAGAAATATCATATACAATTATACTGCTAAGCCATCATAATTTCCATGACCTCTAAGAATATTCTATATAACCTCAACCGGTCGTTGGCAACAGCTTCCATGACGGCTATTTACCGTTGTTGAGGTTATGTACGACAATTGAACATGCGTATTTATCGATTTTCTTTTAATTTGATTAAGCCGGCCGCTTTTATTTTACTTACCCACATGAACTTCATTGCTACCAATTTGAAGCCCTTCTGTTCAAAACGCTCAATGATCTTGCCGACGAGTCCTCGTTGGACTCCATCGGGCTTAACCATGATGAAAGTGCGTTCCTTGTTGGCGGCCATTGCGAATGAGAATAGAGAATAAACTGCCAAAAGCGTAGCAATCATTGGTGTGGTTAGGTTCTTCATTTGAGAGTGTGACCATTTTTTGCAAATTATAAAAATACTTAATTGCTATTGCCAAATACCACATTCGTGGGAACTTAATTTTGTCAGTAACATTAAATTTTATTATAAAGTTAATTGTTTAATCTTCTACATTTGCTTAATTTATTTTATTTTGCTTGCTATACATATAAAAGTTAACTATTGTTATAGATAAATAGAGGCATCCTCAATATATACACAACTTTCTTTCCTTGTTTTTGAGGAAAAATTTCTGCTTGAAGTACAACTAAAAGCCTCACGACATTTTAAAATTTAAGTATTGGACTCTCCACAAATAGCTAAACTAAATGTAGATGCTTAATAATTTCAAAAACCATTGTGGTCACATCTAATGTATTTTCAAGAGTTAGTATTTTAATTACGCTTTGACAGAGTTCATATATCTGTCCCTCTCGGCTTAACTTATACATTAAAATCAGCTGAAGCTTTAGCAAAAATGGATTAATTGCAAAAATTAGATTAAATTAAACAAAAGTAAAAAAAAAACAATTTAACTTAACTTTAAAAATAAAAATGACAAATGTAACCGAATCAAGGCCATATTGGTCTGATGAAGCAATCAGTTTTATTATCACAGCAATTCGGAAAACTCCGTACATGTGGGATAAAACCCACAAGGATTTTAGTATTCGAAGCTTAAAGCACAGTTTTTGGATGAATTTGAAATATACGCTTGAGAAACGATTCAATTGTCGAGCATATACAAATGAGCTGGCTAGAAAATGGCTTAATCTATTGTCCTACTATCGGGCTCAGCAAAAGGCAATTTTAGATGCAAATGGCCGAGGAGCACAGCCCGAGGAAATAAAACGATTGGAGGGCTGGAAATTCTTCCAGCTAATGAAATTCCTCCCCCTTGGTGGGCATGACAAGAATGGTGTGGATGTGAGTATGTGAAGCAAAAAATAAAAAATAATACTAAATGAGCAAAATTCAATCAATCAATAGGTAGAGAATGTTTACGACAGCACCCACTCGGAGGATTCGGACAACATTAGCTCGTCTGCGCCAATTGACGAAACCCAAGCAAGCAGTCAATATGCTGATCCGGGAAGTCCCTTTCAGCAGTCCACTTCCAAAGTAGCATCTAAGAATAAAGCTGGAAAGCAAATAGCGATTGAGGAATTCAACGTGCCCATGGAGGATAACGATATAGAAATTGAGGAGACAACATCAATACCATTAGAGCCCATGACTGATGGTTTTTCGAGCACGCCTAGTTTTCACTATGGAATGGCAATTGGTCAGGAGGTTTTTGAGCTTGAAGAAAACTTGAAAATCGATGCAAAGATGGAAATTATGCAAGTTATTGTCAAATACCAAAAGCAACAACTACACCGGACCGCAATGAATCTAGCTGGCAGTTAAGCATTATTAATATTATTATTAATGGTTATGTGTATGAATTTCGAACACTCGAATGTATGTATGTTTGTAAGTTTGCACAAATTCCATAAAAGATACACACAGGGTGACTCGTTTCAGTAAATATTTTTTGGGTTGCTTTAAAAAAAGGGAATTTTTCTCAATTATTAGCACAGCCACACTGTTTTCCATTATCTGACGAATTTGTGAAAAGGTTGGTAGACATTTCGCAAGAAAAAGCAACAACAAATTTTAATAAACAAATAATTAAACATTTGCTGATACTGCCAAAAGGCTTGTATTTTTAAAACAATATCTTAATACACTAAATAAGTAAATGCATAGAGCTTGCAGCTCATATGCAATTACTGCGTTGTTAATATGGCGTCATTTGCAATGAAAAGAAAATGGCGAACTCGCTTCACAATTTGCGTTTAATTTTTTTCCGCAGAACTTAATTTTACAATTGCAACAAAATGACTGGTCGTGGAAAGGGCGGAAAAGGATTGGGAAAAGGAGGTGCTAAGCGTCATCGTAAGGTGTTGCGAGATAACATCCAGGGCATAACCAAGCCGGCCATTCGCCGTTTGGCCCGTCGTGGTGGAGTCAAGCGTATCTCTGGCTTGATATATGAGGAGACCCGCGGTGTGCTCAAGGTAAGTGCTTTGCATCAAATCACACTCACACAAACTACTAAATTTATCATTTGCAGGTATTCTTGGAGAACGTTATTCGCGATGCCGTTACTTACACTGAGCATGCCAAGCGCAAGACCGTCACTGCTATGGACGTTGTCTACGCCTTGAAGCGCCAGGGACGCACCCTCTACGGTTTTGGCGGTTAAGTGCGGCAGCATTTATATATTTCGCATAATATGTAACCGGATTGGAATTAATAATCGATATATAATACATATAAAAAGCAGCGTATTTAATCCTCGATCTACTTAATCTTGAATATTTGAGCATACCTATGCAGTAGTAATTACACAATGTATTGACAAGAAAATATTCCATTATTATAAAACATATATAGTACACACACTTATGTGACACTTGCTTGCAACTTTATTGCATTATTCTGCATTCAAAAGATTTGCTAACACAAAATCAATATCATAACGCCAATAAATCGTTTCGTAGAAGGCACAATTAATGAACATTCTATTTCGGCATTAGCACATTCATTATGTTTTTACTTTTTTATTTTGTTCAATTAACTGAATAACCCAAGCCCCGATCGGATAAGTATTGGGTATATAATTCACAGCAAACATATTCAAATTGGTCTCAACTAAATCACGTCTCCAGTGCGAACTGAAAATTTGGCCCTCCACTATTTGTTGAGCTATTCGGACTTTTACTTTTATTGCTATGGTGGCACTTTTAAAACGCTCTTCTCACTGGTCTTGTTGTTTTGATGCGACATAAGGCTACCGCATTTACTGATTCGATTCATTCATTTTCCTCTGCATCTCCAGGTAGACGGATCGCGGCGACATCATATGTCCCCCAGCATCTTGATTATCCTGCACTTCGAGCTCGTCCTCTTCGTATTGTGTGCGCCGCAAGTAAACTTTCATGGGCTCAAATTTATCCTCCTGCTCTGTACATATTGTGCTGTCGGTCTTTTCCTCGTCGGATGTTTCGCCATTGTCCAGTAGTGAGGACTCCTCCATATTTGCCATATATGACTCCACCTGCACGTAGTCATCGATGCCCCCCTTCTTGTTTTCCCGCACCTTGTTGCCGTGCTGCATTTTGGATTTGTGTCGCTTCTTTCCAGATTTGCCATTAATCTTTCGCTCCAGCTCGGCCATGTAGAGTGCCATGTGGCTATTGCCCTGTTCCCCGTTCTGCTGTTTCTTCATCTTAGACATGCGCTTGTGGTTCTCGCTGCGCACTCCATCCCCAATGTGTTCGGCTCCATACTGGGAACTGTTGTTGTGCCCGTACTTATTGTCGTAGTTCGCATCCTGACGGTGTTCATTGCGCTTGTGCTCCTGCTGCTCATTCACCAAACAACTGTCGCCAATGTCCATTTCAAATTGCACATTCGGATTAAGCTTGAACTGCAAGTTGAATTAATCATTGAGATTGGAGTTGTTTTTTAAAATGTATTTATTTGTCGAACCTAACCGAAACTGGTATTATGCAGACATTGTTCGGGCATTCGCAGAAACACTATTATTAAGCACTTCCCCGAATTACGGGCTTTTTAGTTGTTGTTTCTACTGCCAACATTACCATGTTTATTTTATATGACTATTCATCATTCAGAAATTAACAGAAGTCACAAATCAGGCACTTCCATAAGGCGGACAAAACTGCTTACTTTATAATGCCGAGCTTTGTTTGAGCTGAAAGTTACTATTCTCCTTATATCGGATCAAACAGACTATTAACGAGTATATGATACTAATAATTAATATACGATATGCAAATCTGTCGCAGAATATTAATGTATCTGCATTTGGGTATTTGAAATGAACTGTCAGGTTGCTACTCACATCGCGCTCGTTGGCAAACTCGTGATCCGATTTGGATTCCCGCTTCTTGGCTTTCTCTTTGGAGAATGTTTCCACATATTTCATCTCGCTGCGCACCTTGCGCACCTGCAACTGTTGGCGCATCTGCCGATGACTGTTGGCTGTCATCGGAGGAACTTCCTCTGCCTCCTCGTCCTCGGCATCCTCCTCATGCTGCTCCTCGAACAAATGTACCTGGTGATACTGCTGCTGATTGCGCAGGGTGTCACTGCGTGGTGACGATTCCATGCTGGTAACAGTGCTGTTGACCAATGCTTGAGGAGCTTCCTCAATGCTGTTGTTGATGAGGTGTAAAACATATTAATATGCGAATTTGATAGAGTATTGAGTTTAGTTACCTTTTGACAAATGGTTTAGCAATATTGCTCTTAACTCGGCAGTATCCGTTTTCGTGCTCTACGATTTTCTCTAGCGGCTTCAGTGACGGCGAGACCAGATCTAGGGACATGAGTTTCTGATTGAGTTTCTCATTCAGTTTCTCTGCCTTTTTGCGCAGTGTTCGCTCCAGCGAGAGCTGCTCCTCCAGCTGTCGGGTGTGCTGAAGCAGTTGCGATATGCTATACTTCTGATTCTTGGGCAGACTCTGGAGCCCGTTGACACAGCTGAGATCGTATTGCGGCTCCTTAAGCTTGTCCTCATCCTCCTTGCCGAAATGATCGCGAATCTGGCGCATGATGAACTTGCTGATGCCATTGTTGTTGCGTAAATTGAACTCGGTGAGGGCCTTATTTAATTCTAGGCACTCGAGTATAAAATTCGCACCACGATCGGTCAGACCACAGTTCTCCATATCGATTGCTGTCGAGCAATCCAAGGATCAGAGCTTGTGCTAGATTCTGTTTCGTTGATACTTACTCTTTACCCAGGCATCTTCCTTAAGCACCTCGGCAATATGGCGAACACCCTCGTCGCCCAAGTTCGGATTGTTGGCCAGGGCAACGGTTCGCAGACCCGAAATCGAATTCACATCCACACTGCGATAGCGCAAGGACATCTCCCAACCCTCCGAGAAACGGGTTATCTTTTGCATCTGTAATCACAAAGCGACATTGGCCATTCGTATTTGACGATCTCGATGAAAATGCTTACCTTGATCATGTCGGCCACAAATTCAGCTCCCTTTGAGCTAATATTGCACTCGCAGAGATTGAAGATCTCAACGTGATTCAAGTACTTGACGGTGCTGCAGACAGCCTCGCATCCCTTGTCACCTATTAGGGATTTTTGAAAGCTTACCTCTTTAATGCAATCATTCGAGGCAAGGGACTGCAAATGAACAGAATTGTTTGAAAAAAACAGGCAATGAGACGAGTATTTTACCTTGGCAATGCATTCAATATAGCCATCCTGCAGTGGCAGACCCTCCAGCTTTAATATGGTTAAGTTCTTGTTAAACTGTATACAATTGGCAATGGCCTCCACCAGACTACTGAATATGAAGCGGGTGTAGATAACCGGCTTCTGTCGGAAGAGTCGAGCACGATTCTCTGAATCAATTGGTTGAATGACGTCTGCTCTCAATGAAAAAGGCTCTGTTAGTTTATCAGCCCGACTAGCGTCTATCTAAGATCTGACAACTCACTATCTCCATTGGCTCGACGCATGCGCACGATTAAAGTTTGGAGCACAAGATCATGATGAAGCGCCTCGATGATCAGCAGCCATTCAGTGACGCCCAGCTTATCGCCGAGCAGATCGAGGTATGTGGTGGCATTGGGATTGGCACGTAGATTTGGCACTGGGGTAAGATTCTTGGCACGACAGAGCTCCAAATAGCGAAAGTGAAATGAGCGGCTCTTGCTGGATTTCTTTACGAGTGGTGGCACCGATACCACAACACTCGGGCGCTTCTTTACATCTCGTCCATGGAAAGACATGTTCTTTGCAGAAAAATACAACGATAATTTAATTGGGCAAGGAAAATATGGGTATGGTAAAAGGAGACAAATTTGTCTTTAAGGTTCACGGAAGTACACATATTTTTGAGGATATTTCAACAAAATTCGACAGAAAATTGGAAAAATTAGAAAATTTGAAAATTAGTGTCTAAGACTTTACAAGTGCTTAGGGTCTTTGGTTAACCCATAATCTTTGAGTGCAGTCCTTGCGATTCTATTGTGCTTCAAAAGCATGCAAGCATTTGAACGACTTAGAATTAATTTCCTGGTTATATTTGGTTTTATCCTTAAAGTATGCTACAATAATTTTAGCGCGAGATCAATTTAGCCAATGCAGCAACCAGCAAAGAAAACTTTGTACTAACTAAATTTCCCAGCGAGACACCGAAACTGGTTTTGGTACATCAAATATTTGCTAATTTGTACCTTGAGTAGGTGTTCTTGATAACATATTAGAATATGCTATATTAGCACGATGTTGATCATATTTTGTTGTACCTTTTATAATATGTAAAAAGATTTTTTAATCATTGTATAATAAAATTGTGGAAATTAATTATATATTATTTTATAGCAGAGCATGTAACATAAAGATAATATCTATCTGGTATATGAACTTTTTGAATCGATTCGCGAAGCCCCCTTAGAAGCTTATATACTGTTGTTCCTCTTGATCCATCTCTTCATCTCTAACTTAGCTTACTTTCAACTCAGTTCGATTTATTATTTTAAGCTTATTTACATGCTCCATAATTAACTTTGTCGCAGCCCTGCCAAAGAACTCTTGTAACCTTCTAAGTTATATAAATTAAAAGCACTTCCGCTGGACATTTCGCATTTCGATACAGCAATTTCCAACCGTCAACATTTCCAGTCTGCACACTCTGTGTGGCGCTGTGTTTGCGAGTTGTAAACAAACCACGCACAGCACTCCCCTGCCTCTCCCTCACACTGCCTTACTCTCCCTCTCTCTCTCTCTCTCTCTCTCCCTCTCACTCTATCTCTCTCTCTCTCTCATTGCCTTGAGCAATATGGGCTCTCTCTCGAATACACGCTCCGCTAATTACTCGCGTGCCTGCAGTGCAGACGCCAATACCGATGCCGGGGGTTGCCATGTGGCTTGGCTCGGTGACAACGACGACAACGACGGCTCAATTGCCATTCCCATAGAGCACGCAGGCCGCAGACGCAACTGTTTGAGCCTGGTCTGCTGTCAGTCGTGGTGCAACTGTTGAGGAGCACACTTCGGTTTCGTGTCTCACTTTAATGCGGTTTTGTGGTTTCGAAAGTGCAATCGTTAACATTTTGAAGACCGCTCGGGCAACGGCACTTAGAACATTTCTGTCTCGGCACGATGGACGTCGGCCCTATAAAGTGCCATTAAAGTGATCATCTTTTATTTCTAGCCTGAATGACGGTGTCAAAATATCGAGTTCCGCTTCATGCATTGCCCAATTTCGAGCGACACGTTTTTCACCGTGTTCTATTATTTTTGTACGTGCTCGCGTATTTGGGGTTTTTGACTTTTACTACCTAATTACCAATTAACAGCGTCGTCTGCTTTACCTAAGTGCCGAGAACCCTTTCGAAATGTGTTGATACCATTAAGTGGTTTGGATAGGAAGACAACTACAAATACGCATTTGCATTTGCAGACAGAGCTGCGAAACAATGTAATTAACATATAAACGTCAGCTGGTTTAAAATTACAACGAAGGATACTTGATATACAGTCTGAACTGTACATATTACACATAAAAGGGTAAGTTTTGAAGAGACATATGAAGGGGAACAGGACATGTCAGTTTCAGGTATTCCTGGTGAGCAGGGAATAGTGTAAAGTAAAAATTTCCTAGAGTTGCAAAACTTTGCAGAAAGGGCAAAGAACTGGTGAAGGTTTAACTAATGCAATTCGTCTAGCAGAAAATAAGAGTAGGAAAACAATAGATGTATTGCCGAAAAAAAATGTTATAATACAAGTTAGTTAATAATAGAAGATAATAAAAGGTCGCAGCTTCAAGTCAAGGACTTGCCAGCTCTACCAAGACATTGGCGTTTGCAATGCAAACTTACGAATTGGAGCAATTAGTTAGAGATATGCAAAAACCAAAATGCCTAGAAAAGGAGACGAACTGTAACGGGCAGATTAGTTTCGACACTTGCTCCGTCGTCAAGTCAGCGATCCCAGCGTCTCTCGCTGCCGGCATGGAGCACGATTACGCGTATTACCATGAAAGCGATGCGGATGCGGGCCCCTTCAACTGAACTCTTTGGCTGACGACTCCGGGCTATGAGTCAAAAATCAAGCTACCGCAACGAAGCTGCATACAACACACAGCTCCCAGCTGCCCCCGCGCCCCTTCCTCCCACTCCCCCACAACAGCTCTTTTGTTTGTCAGCAGTAACAGAAACAACAACAACAACAACAAAAACAAAAACAACAAATATTGTAACAATAGTTGCTGTTGCTGGCGTTGAACTTGACTGTCGGAGGCACGTTTCGGAATCGATGTGCATGACAAAAAGGGCTCTAATATGGGGGAGGAAGTGTTTAAATTGGAATAGACGAGCCATAAGCTCATTTGTTTGCTCACTCGCTCGTTCGTTCGCTCGTTCGTCGTCGCCGGAAACTGAAGGCAACACATTGGGCCAAAAGCCAACATCAGTTTCGGCTACAACGCCTCTCGCAGCCAACACAACCAGGCTTAAAACATTGTTGTTTTTTTTCTTTTAATTAAATGAAGTTGATGTGAATCTGGTTGCCATATCCGAAGACTATCTTGCTTCAAGCCGCAAGCTGGCAACTTGCCCAATTGACAGGCACAAAATAATTGTTTATTGTGATTTCCTTGGCAGTTTTAATGTGTTTTTTGTTGTTGTTGCTGTTGTTGTGCGATCTTGTTGTGGTTACATGGAAAGCGGCATAATCGAAATGTATCTATTGGATACACATTGTTGCTGACTTGTTGACTTGTCGCAGAATTTCACTTTTGGTAAACTCTCGGATCGAAGTCCGGGGTCAGAACATGCCATGCGTAAACAGTTGGCGCCTTGGCCAACCGTTATTAGCAAAAGTTTTTTTGCTATTGGCCCAAAAAGTCATGCGTTCCCTGTGCAGATTTTTTTCGGTTAGGAGGAAAAGCGGGCGGCGACAGTAACTGCCAACATCGTCGTCATGGCTTGTGAGCTGACGACTTGAGACACACACATTTCCCCTTTTTGGCTTATATAAATTATGGGAAATGCTTAAAAAAAAAGTAGAGCAGGTATTCGTCTATTAGACGTGGCTAATATTGCAGCTTTGCTACCTATTAATTCGATTTAATTCGCTAAGTTTTTCAGTTGTGGCCGCGTGGAAAATTGGCTTCATGTAACTTATGCTCTAACGAATTTGAGGCAATAGGCTCAAATTGTTATTGAAACCAGGCTTATTTGATAAACATTTAAGGTTAATATATACAAAAATATTGAAATTCGCTTACGAATATTCTAGACTTTATTATGTATTTGGGAAATAATATTTCTCTTATTACAGCGCTTGTATATTTTTAAAGCTTTCTAAGACGTTTAAAGTTGGCCATCAGGGCATAAAAAAAAACTGCTTTCGAGCTTGTTTATATGCCTTGTAAATTCTTTTAAAATTGAAATTAAAGTGAAACCAATTACTGGAATCATGGCAAGCAAGCACAAAGCACATTCTGCAACTTTTAATAATTACTTAACTACCTTTCTTTTCTTAACTTTTTTGAGTGAATCTTATTTATAAGGTACGTGCTCTAGCAGAAGATCGAAAAGTGGATAAAATGTAAGTAAAATATGGGGTCTGATTGGGTTTCATAATAGGTTTGCCTCAATCCTTGCAACAAAGGTTGAAACCAGTTTGAATTAGTTGAACTTAAATATTTTCTTCAATTTCTCTTTTTATCTAGATTTTTTTTCCAATTAATTTGTATAATACGTAGGCTCAAATCAAATTTTTGATAGCAAAATTACAATTAGGTAGATACAGATTCAAGCTAGGCATATCAAATAAACAATGGTAGATCTGATTCATCAATTTCTAATACAGATTTACAATAATGCCTTTATTTATGATGCTCTAGTTACTTATTTAGGGTAAATTCCCTCTTTCCCCACTAGAATATTGACGGCTCCCAAATTGATAACCTCAATTGCCATATTTAGTTGCTGTTAACTACATAAATCGTTGGCAAAATCATTGCAGCATGAAATTACATAGCGTATATGTACACATATGTATATGCACCATAAATATGTGGTTGTCTTCTCCCCTACCACCCGCCACATATAGACAGCTAATAATAAGAGCGACTGACCAAACAACCCAATTGCTGTACGTTATACAAAAGCGTTGGCCATAAATACATAATTACACCAAGCAGCATCTAAATACCTGTAAGGTAAATTGTTGCTATTTATTTTCTTAGTAAACAAAAAAAGAAAATGTTGCATGCGACGCTTGAAAGCGAAATCTGCCTATTTCAGACGCAAATGAAATTATTTTAAAATAAAATATGCGCTTGGAGGCCGTTTTAAATAGCATTTGAAATTCATAAACGACCTTGTCTACGATTTTTCAGCACAAGATAAATATGACTTTCCAAGGGGTTGATGTAACACGCCAATGCTAATGAACTAACTACCACTCTGCCTGCACACAACTCAGCATTTGTATCTCAATCTGTGTGTCTACCTGTATCTATTTCAGTGACTGGGTCTCTAAATGTATCTGCAAGTCTTAGAAATCAATCAGCGGGCAAAAAGCTTAACGAGCTGTGCACAAATTGCTTGCGAGCCAAATTATGAAATATCTTTATTGTCGTTGTGTCGAAATCAATGAACTGGCCAGCAATGGGCGTGGCAATTGCTCTCGTTATAACAATCATAAGCCCGAGTTCAACACGACTCAGACAATGGCAACGGCTTGCGTTAATAAGCCAACAAACCGCTAGCGACAATGATACCAAACATGTGATGCATCTTGCATCTGTTGGATGCACATCGAGTTACATTTTCACACGCATTACAATAAAACACAAGAGATGCAGCCATAAAAACCCAGCAGTGTCATGAGTTGACGAAATACCCAATTGTTTTTCTACTCCATTAAAAAAGAAATAAAATAAAAAATTGCTCTTAAGTATGTACATATTTCTACTCTCTTACGATAATGTCTCATTTTTATATCCCGTATCCAGAAAACGAGTAAAAAAAACATCAGAAGAATATTATTATGACCCTTGGGAAAAAATTATCTCCATTTGCAGCTGTCTCTGAAAATGTTGTTTGTATATATTCAATATATATATATTTATATAAATATATATAAGCTCTGTCAAACAGACCAATACTAATAATTTTGTTATGATTTTCAGTTTTACCTGCTTTAAAGAGACTTAATTCTTAGGCAAACTAATTGCCAAGCAATAGTCGAAACTACTTATTAAGAAATGGTAATAGCCAAGTAATTTAAAAATCGTAACGGTCATTAAACTTGCAACAAATACAATTTCTTTAGCGGAATTCCGGACTAAACAAGAAAAACAATTTCAAAGCAAGACACAAACAATTTGGACGCTTAATTAATTTGCACATAAAACTTTCTCAAGATCTTTTGAACACTTCTCACGCAGTGCAGGCGGACAAGAGCAGAACGTGATATATCCACATTACGAGATACTACTCTATTCCCGGGGTAATTGTATGTGTCCAGTGCCATTGAGAAACGCTTGCCCGACTTAACTCATTGTGGGCTTTTGGCGATGTTGCAACTTGCTGCCAGAACCAGAAATACAACCAGAAGTAGCTCGCAGCGAAATTAGCTTGGAGTACACTCGAAAAAAGTTGAGCACTTTGTGCTCAAGCATTGTCCGCCTAAAGTCAAGGTCAAAAGAAAAAAAAACAATTGAAATTGCTTTTGGCTTGAACTAAGTATGACTATGATTGCATTAAAAAAGTAAAGTCAAGAAATTGATTACTTTGTTTCAAGTACTCAACTTCCCAAATCAAAGCAAAAGTCATCTTAAAATAATATTATTTCAGCTTATATTTTGATTTCTTATTTTTAAATTAAGAAGTAGAACGCTTTACACTAATTTAAAGTACAATGAAGCTTGTATTAACTATTTGATTAAAAATTAAGGCATTAACATTAAGAGACAAGACGGATGGAAATTGTTTTAACTTGATTTTGGAAGACCGTTATTAAAACATGTTTTTTACCTAGTTTAAATATAAGAATGCTTGTAATGAGTATTATCTACTTCATTCAAGAATTGTAACGCTAACAGTAGATTTTTTCTAATTGATTTTTGAAGAGCGCTTTCTCTAAGTGAACAAATACCCGCAGCTTCAAATCTAGCTCCAGTTTTTGAGCATGTTTTTTTTTCTTGAGCTCATTTGTACATTTTTATTAGGTTGAAGTAGTACTTGAAATTTCTCAAGCGAAACTGCTTTAAGGTCATAAGGCACACCTAGAGGGAGGGAGAGAGACAGAGAGAGTGGGGCATGGAAATGTGTCGCTAAATAGTTGGACAGATTTTAATGAGTGATATGTTGGTTAGTTGTGGTATATGGGTTAAGACTCGCTTGTTGCTTATTTGTGTAACACACTCTGACTGTTTTCTAGGTGGCAAACGATGTTGGTGGTCGGATGTTGTTGTCGACGGCAACAGTTGTCTGCAGGTGCTCACAACATTGAAATGTACAGCGAAAAACAGTCAAAGCTGGGTGACAAACCCATTGCCAACATGGCCTACAAGAAGGTGCGCTTCAAAGTGTTAACAATCGGGACTGTTGGACAAAATATTTTTATAATACTCACAATATTAATATGCGCCGTGTCATCAAATCGACCGCCACGTTTTGCAATCGATGGCCAATCGGAGATTGTGCTGAGACTGAAGGAGAGTCCCGAAACGAGGGTTGGTAGTCAAATCTATACGCTCCGGGGCTACGATCCGGACAACGATCCGTTGATCTTTGGCAAGCGTAACTCGCACGATAGCGAAATCATTCGCATCGAGAATACGTCCGGCAACGAGGCGAAAGTGTTTTTGGCCAAGGAACTGGATCGCGAAACGCAGGACGAGTATGCCATCGTGCTGACTCTGACGGACAGTCAGTACGGCGATCACAATTATGTGACGCAGAGTTTTCTGCTGCTCGTCGAGGATATTAACGATAACGCGCCCATCTTCCTGCCCTACCCGAATGCCATCGAAATACCCGAGGGCAGTGCGCCGGGCGTGATTAGCACCCTGGAAGCAACCGATGCCGATGAGGGTGCCTACGGCCAAGTGGTTTACTATCTGCAGGAACTGGATGGCGATAACGATGCCTTCAGCATAGCCACGCATCAGGGTAAGGGCATCCTGCGACTGCAGCGGCAGCTGGACTATGAATCGAAGAGCTTATATCAGTTGCGCATTCTGGCTATCGATCGGGCCAACCAGGGGCCGGTCAATACGGGAACGGCTGCCATTTTAGTCAAGGTTCGGGACATTGCGGATCAGCCGCCCGAGTTTGTCGAAGTGCAGGCTGTCGCAAGGATTGCCGAGGATGCGCCTGTGGGCACAAAGGTGCTGAGGGTGCGTGCCATCGATGGTGATCGTGGCATTAACAATCCCATTGCCTATGCTCTGGATGGCAATGATCTCTTCGATATCGATCCACATACGGGTGTTGTCTACACCCTGACCGTCTTAGATCGCGAGGAGGAAAGCGATCAGGTGAATGGTGCTCACATCCTGAGGATCACCGCAACGGAGCTGACAAAGGATGGGGAAGAACCACAGAAAACAGCCGCAACTGTACGCACCGAGGTGACCATTATTGTGACAGATGTCAACGATGAGATTCCCACCTTTGGTGCACCCATCTATCGCTGCGAGGTCAATGAGAATGCTCAGACGAATACACCACTTAACTTTATCGATGGCGACGTACAGAATTTCGTCTATGATCACGATGAGGGCAAAAATGGAACGTTTCGCTTGTTCCTCGATCCGCCCAATGATCTCTTTGAGATTGTGCCCGAGCTGGCCGTGAATGAGGCCAACTTTATGTTGCGCGTCAGGAATTCCAAGTCGTTGGACTTTGAGCAATTTGTGGAAATTAACTTTACAATATTCGCCAGGGAGATCGATGAACCCACACGCTGGAGGTGCGTCTTATTCAATTATTTCTTATACATAATAATTAACTATTATTTCTGTAATTTCAGTTCAGCTCATGTGCAAATCTTTATACGCGATCAGAACGATAACTTTCCCGAGTTCACACAAGCGATCTACAATGCGGGAGTGCCCGAGAATAGCGAACTGGGCACAATAATTGCCCAAGTGGAAGCGGTTGATGTGGACTCTGGAGATTTTGGTAGCATGGGCATACGATACACGAATCTGAGAGGAGGCATCGCGCACTTGTAAGTAAAAAGAGTTTGCTGCTAATCTACGGCTAATCGAGTGATTTCACACAGATTACATTTGAATCCCATAACGGGTGTGGTTACGATCAAAACTCCAGGGAGTCCAGCATTCGATCGTGAGATCATTTCCCGTCACTATTTAACTGTTGAGGCCATTGACAATGTGGGTCAAGGCAATCGCAACACTGCTCAGATAATCATTGATATTCAGGATGTGAACGATAATGCGCCAATTTTCCTGCATCGGCAGTATGAGGCCAAGCTGCTGGAGAATAAGGCTGAGTTTGAGACACCGCTACAGGTGGAAGCCCGTGATCTGGATTTGAATGGCACCGAGAATAGTCAGATTACCTATGAGATTGTTGAGGGGCTGTATCGCATGAACTTCTCCATTGATCCGGAGAGTGGATATGTGCGTCCCCTGCATCACTTTGACTACGAGGAACTGGTGGACAGTCATCGGCGTCCTGTGCGCCAGGCGAATGCGGAAATGCGTGAGATTGATCTACTCATACGTGCCAGAGATTCGGGCATACCCATGCTGTCCACTGTGGTGCCGGTGCTCATCTATGTACAGGATGTCAACGACAATCCGCCCATCTTTCAGAAGAGCTTCTATGCCAAAACGGTGCCCGAGGACCTGCCAGGCGGCAGCTCGGTGCTGCAGGTGCTGGCCATCGATCGCGACGGCTCCTCGCCCAATAACGCGATCGTCTATCGCATACAAACTGGCGCCAGCGATAAGTTTATTATAAACTCGGAAACGGGTGTCATATCTGTGGCTCAGGGAGCCAACTTAGATCCCGATCTGACCGAAAGCAAGCGACTGATATACACTCTTAATGTGGTAAGTATTTGGAAGAGTAAATGGATTGACTGGTTCTTAATGAATTCTCTACTTTCAACAGATCGCATTGGATGGTGGCCTTGGTAGTTCCCAGTTGATGAATACGGCCACTGTAAACATCAGTATCAAGGATGTGAATAATAAACCACCCATGCTACACGATCTGCCAGCATTGAAGGTCGTTGAAAACACACCTGTAGGCACCTTAGTCTATCACATTCAAGCCACAGATCCAGATCAGAGCCCCATACTGCGCTATAAGCTCAACGCGGAGCACTCTGAGGCCCGCAACGAGGAGGGTGGCCTGGTGAAGATCACTGAATATGATTATCTGGGTGCGTTCGACCTGGACGCCATACAGGGCTATCTGAAGGTAATCAAACTATTGGATCGCGAGAAAGTGGAACACATCAAGCTGGCCATAACCGTCGAGGATCTAGCAGCGACCAAGGGCAAACAAATTGTGCAAGGTAAGTCTTGAAATCTTATGATTATATATGAGAAAAGTTTAACCTGACGGGTGATGTGTGTTCGATAAACCAGATGTGACTGAGGATCTTTTTAATTTAAGACTCATTTGAATTCAATCTCATTTTTAAAGATCAGTGTGAAATTGAATTAGTATCGTTGGATCTGTAGCTTCATTCTAGCGTTAAGTATACTAATATTTATTTCATTTTTCAGCATTTCTTAGCATTCAAGTGCAGGATGAAAATGATAACAATCCCAAGTTCCGGCAACCCTTCTATAGGCAAACAATCACCGAGAACAGCATCAATGGCGTTATGATTGCCAATGTGCTGGCCTATGATGTGGACAAGAATCGCACAATTAGCTATGCAATGGAGGGTAATCCTACCTATCGGAATCTAGTTCATTTGGATGCACAAACCGGTGAAATTGTCGTGGCCAACAAGATCGATCACGAACAGCATCAATGGTTGAATTTTAGTGTGCGTGCTACGGATTCCGGAGTGCCTCCGAGATCGGCGCTAGTCGATATCTATGTCACCGTCTTGGATGAGAACGACAATAATCCGTTTTTTATAGGAGGCAGCAAGAACTATACGATCAGTGAGGGTGCTTCGCCAGGCACTCGGGTAGCCACCCTGCAGGCAGCTGATGCAGATTCGGGTGATTTTGGCAAGATCACATTTCTGATGGATCGCATTAGTTCACATGGCAAGTTTACCATAGATGCGGATACGGGTGTCTTAACCGTGGCCGATCAACTGGATCGCGAGACGAAAAACTCGTACAATCTGGTGATAGAGGCCTGGGACAACTATCAGTTTGGGTTTTTAGCAGGCGAGAGTCGGAATGCCTTCAAGCAAGTGTTGTGAGTAGAGCGCGAGAGGGATTCCAAGGATTCTTTTTGATTTCTAATTGCTTTCCAGCATTACCATATTGGATGAGAACGATAATGCACCCGAGTTGACGTTACCCACCTCATGTGTGCTCATCACCGAGTATCATGAGCTACACGAGAGTATTGCGAGCATCATTGGAAAGGATGCGGATGATCCGACGACGCCAAACGGACGATTGCAATTCGGTATAGTCAAGGGCAACCGAGAGGGTCTCTTTGAGCTGAGGCAACAGGATCCCTGGAACGCACACATCTATGCCAGCAAAACGTTGCGCAACAAGTTTGGGAATTATAGTTTGAGCATTGTCACCAAGGACTTGGGTGTGCCAACAAATACGGTGATCCGCACTCTGGACATTTGTGTCTCGGACTTTAATGATAATGCTCCGGTGTTTGTCAGACCATTGCGTAACACCACAGTGCGCATACCGGAGAACGCCACAGTGGGCACAATGCTGCTGCAGGCCTATGCGAGTGATGCGGACATGGGTCAGAATGCACTGGTTCGCTATCGCCTCAAACCCGATCCTCTGGGCAGCTATAAGCTATTCGAGCTGAACGCCAATACGGGAGAGCTATTTCTGAAAGCGCCCCTGAATCGGGATAAGCAGAAGACACATGAGGTGAGTAAGCTACTGATTACGCCTAAAACTATAGCTTACAAAAAAAAACTCCCCTAGATACGTATCGAAGCCTACGATCAAGGATTGCCCACTAGTCTAAGCACCGATCTCGATCTGACCATCTACATACGCAATGTGAACGACTATGAGCCACAGTTTATTGTCAACGAGATCGCTCTTAATTTCACGGAGCACGCTGATCTGGGCTCGGAGCGGATTAAGCTGCCCGATACCATAGACAAGGACGATATGGATCTAGACGATCCGAACGAGGCGCCCACACAGGTCTGCTATTTCATTCTGCACGGCAATGAGGCAGGCTACTTCCATCTGGATCCCGAGACACATGTTCTGAACGTGGAGCGCGAATTGGATCGCGAACTCATTGCTAACTTCACCCTCTACGTCAAGGCCACTGAGAACTGTGCCAATGAGTCGCTCCCCGGTTGGAGCGGCTTGGAGATCGATGGGAATGCACTGCTGAATAATCGAAATGATATCGAACTCATAAACTATGATCGCTATAAGCATTCGCGACAAGTGCGCTCTGCCAGTCTGGAGTACGAGATGTCCACATCCGGCGAACCGGATCTGATATCCTACGACAACTATGTGGATGTGCACAGCGCAGAGGAGCGGTTACCCCCAAAAATAGATAGCACCATTGTGTGTGTGCGGATACGTGTACTGGACATTAATGATAATCCGCCCAGATTTCGCTCGAAGATCTTTACGGGTGGCATCACCACCAATGCTGATTTTGGCCTTAGGTTTATGCGCGTGGAGGCCTTCGATCCGGATGAGGGGGACAATGCGAAAATCGCCTACTATCAGATGGGCGACATAAGGCAAACACTTTCCGAGGGCCTGGAGAATGTGCGCAAGGCACCCTTCCTGATCGATAATCGAACGGGTGAAGTGCAGCTAAACTTTGATCCGCAAAAGGGCATGAAGGGCTACTTTGACTTTATGGTGCTGGCCAACGATTCGCTGGGCATGCGGGATGTGGCCCATGTGTTCATCTATCTGCTGCGCGAGGATCAGAAGGTGCGCTTTGTATTCCGACTGCAACCGGATGAGCTACGTGCCAGAATTGATATGTTCAGAGAGTAAGTAGTTGTCATCGGTATATATATATATATATATAACTGTATATAAAAGACTGGTTATTTCTAGAAAACTCCTTGTAGAAAATGAATAGACTCTTATTTAATTTTGGGCCTCAGCAAATAAAGGGTTAACTGGGTAAAAAATGCGAGTAGATTTGGTTTTCTGTATTCAACAACTATACGAAAATTTAAAAATCTAGAAAAAATTTGACGAGATTTAACTTTAGAACCTAAACAAAATCTCAATTCACTTATCTTTGGGTTAAATAGAAGAACAGAAGTTAAAATAGGAAACAGTTGAATTAATAGAGTCCAATCAACTATGAAATTAAACCACTTACTCAAATACCCTGTTAGTCTTTCATTCTAATATTTAATCTACTATTTTCAAAAGCACTCTGGGCAACATCACGGAATCGATTGTCAACATTGATGAGATCAAGGTGCACGAGAACAAGGATGGTTCGGTGGACAAAACCAAAACGGATTTGTATATGCATCTAGTCGAGCGCGAGGACAACTCCATCTATGAGGTGGCCGAGGTGCTCAAGCTTATTGACACACACATCGAGAGCCTGGACGACCTGTTCAAGGATCTCAACGTGTTGGATACACAGGCGGCCGAGGCGCAGCTTCTGACAGTGGGCCAGACTAAAGGGGCAATGTTTGTCTGGCTGATCTTTATAAATCTATTTCTGGTCTCCTTGCTGGTGGTCACACTGGCGCTGTGCGCCTCCCAACGCAAAGGCTACAAGCGGCAGTTGCGTGCCGCCAAAGTGAACATCTTTCGTAAGTTGAATCTTGACTGACTATGTAGACTAACAGCTGATTAACCCTTATTTAACCCCCCATAGGTGGCCACTCTTCCACATCGCTGCAGCATCCGAGTGAGCCTGCGACGAGAGTTCCAAATACCAATAAGCACAGCGTGCAAGGCTCGAATCCCATTTGGCTAAAGGGCTACGAGAACGAATGGTTCAAAACCGAAGAGAATGTTAGGTGAGCCATTGAGATACATGTGCTGTCTAAAAAGATACAATATCTACAGAACAACTAATTGCAGCATTGGCGGACAGGACTCTTTGGATGATAACTTCCTGGCAATTGCCACACAGGATATGCACGAAACGCTCAAGGGCACTGCCAAACTGTTTAATAATGCGAACGATCTGAATCGCCACTTCAATTTGTACAACCAAATCGATAAGCTAACGAACAATGCTCAAATCCTGGCACGCAAACTGGAAACAACAGAATTATAGCGTCCGGAAACTAAAACTGACCCACTTACTCAACCTGTTTATTTATTGTGCTTCGATTTAAGATTAACTAATAAGTCTATCTTAAGCGTGAACGATAAGACCCATGTAAATATATTGGTAAAAGTGTGTAAATTCGAGTTTTCTTTCTTTTTAACGATTGAGATTTATAAGTTTGGTGACTTTTCGACTTACTGCGTTTAATTTGCAAATTGAAAATTGTGCACGTTGTCTCGATTGATATGGTGGCTACAGTTTCCACCCTAAATTTGCAGACATAAAAAATATAAATACGTATACAGATTCACACTGGCTAAAAAAAGGAGAGGAAAGGAAAGCAGGCAATGGATTAAGTTCAACTGTTGACCAACTTTCGTTACTTACCTTTTACGTGACTGTATCCCAACTTGGCCGGAAGTTTATAAATATATAAAATGTTTTGAGTTGCTACGAGTTCCTTAACAGATCGACATTTGTGAAAATAAGCCCTCAATCGCAGCCTACTATCAAGTGAAGCATAGGGCTGGCCTTGCTTCTGACTATTGGATTGATTGATTGGTGGTCACCCTCTAAGCCAAATCGAAGGCCCAACCCCAGAAAGGAACTTTGCTTGATTGGTGTTTGTTGTATGTTGAAAGATGTATGCAAAACTTGTGAAATGCAACTCCAAAATTTGAACTGACTGACCGCAGTGCGTAAAATGGCTTAGGTAAGAGAGTAACCAGAGAAGATTCTGCTGAATTAACTGATATTAACGCGATTTGTAATATTTTTGAATAGGAATTGAATTGTGCGAGTGTGTGGAGAACTGGATTGTTTTTAGAAATATGTGTTAACAGACTTATTTTGTTTTGCCAGCTTGTTCTGACAACATGCAATGCCTTCTCGGATTCAGCCACAAAATGTCAAAAATGACATTCATTCTCAAAAAACAAAACAAAAAAAATGTGTACAATTTGTAAATCATTCGTTTGCAGTTGCCATAAAATCAATATTTATTTTTTCTATTTTTTTTATTCTCGTCTTATGTTTATATTTATATATGTGTTTTTTTTCTTCATATTTTCGTTTATAAGTATTAATTACACAAATTAGATCACAAAAATGCATGTAAATTACAAAAGAAAAGAAGTGAAATTTACCTCATACCGAACAATAATTCAACAACTTTTGAACCAATTTTTTGGCAGAGTTGAAATGTGGAGGTTTTTTTTGTTTTTGTTTTTTTTTTTTGTTAATGGAGTGGCTGCTTCTCCTAGTTTTTCTTATAAAATATAATATATATATATTCATACCACTGCATATAATTATTTGCATTTAAGATTGTGAATTGAAAAACCCAATTCCGAGCCAAGTAACGAAAACATGCTATAAGCATAGTAACCTTAACAGACAGCTATCAAAGGGTATCTCAAAGTTTCTCTTTCTCGTTCGTCATTTCACTCGGAATTGAATATTTCAATTGGTTTATTATGAAGCCAGCCTGTGGCTTTGTGCTTATTTTCCAACGATTATTCGCATTTGTTTACATTCAAATTAATTATATATGTAAAAAAAAGAAAGCTAATCGGAATACAAATTGCGTCTATTTTCAAGAGAATACACAATTTCAGCGTTGCAAAGTGTTTTTTATTTTTGTTCGCGTCACTTGCACATCTTAGAAATCACACTTTAAACTAGTTGCCAACTAAGGAGAACTAAGTCAATTAAATTAATGCCATAAATCAAACAGAAGAAATACATACAGTATACAGTATATAGTGGTTAGATAGAGAGATAGGTAGAGAGAGAGAGAGAGACAGAGAGAGATTTAGGGAGAATATACATGTGTTTAATAATATATCAATATATTACAGTTTTGTCTACTATGTTTAAAGTACGAGTAGCTCCCTTCTTCTTGAACAAGTCCCAAACGAAGATCCTTCATATGCGATGTGTATGTGTGTGGAGGTGTGTATGTGTGTGTGTGTTTTTGTGTGTTTGCCTAAACAGAATGCAAAGTTAATGCGTGTTACATACATATGCAATTTATGTATATTTATATTGTTTGTTTATTAAACGGATTCACTCATTTAATACTTGCACAGATGACAAATGAAATATTACAATGGATGTGTGTCGATGTATGTGTGCATGAGTGTGTCTGTGTGTGTGTGTGTTGGTTGTGTGGTGGGCATTTTTGTTTCGGGCGCTAAATGAGTTATATTTGAAGCGTAACAGTTTTCTTGTATGTATTTGTGTATGCGTGTGTGTAAATATGTGTTTGTATTTACTTATGATAAATAATTTTACATTCCAGTATATAAAATGTGTATAATTCTAATTAATATGTAATCGATAATTTACATATATAGTATAATTATTATTTATATAGACCAAATCGGAAACTAAAACCTTTAAATGATTGAGCCTTGATTTGTTCAGGTCCCAAATCAAATTTAAACTAAAACCGTTTGCCAACTTCAAAAATCAAGTTGCAATTTTCGAATATTTGTAGTTTGTAGGTTTATTTTTAAATTAAAGCTTACTTATGTGTGTTATTTATGTATGTATATATATTTATATATATATATATACATATATATATATATATAGATATAGATGTATGTATATTTAGTAATACGATTCGCGGTTTCAAACTATGTAGTCCCTTGTACGTTTATGTGTGTGTGTGTGTGTGTGTATGTGATTCTGTTTAAATCATAAACTAAACGAAACTTAAAGCAAGATTTTAAGACTCGTTTAGCTTCTGGTCCAAAACCCATCCACATACACTGCTGCTATTTTAACTGTTGTTGTTGTTATTGTTACTTTTGTTAATGTTTTCTCATTTCTCATATGCATAAAGTGAATTGATGTAAATGCGCCTATACTTAGAACTTAACTTTTTGTATATTTAGCATTTCTTCCACGCTTCTTCAAATTCCAATTTGTTACTAAGATTTCCTATTTTCTTTCTTTTTTTCCATTTTCCTTTGCGGTGTGTGTGTGTGTATGTGTGTTTAATGTATATTTGTATAATCCTGCATTCAAAATTGCTTTCACAATTTGTTGTTTTATCTCTTTTCTGTTGCACTAACTGATAAATTAAGTTAAGACTTTAACACTAAGGTTCCACGCGAATTTACAATATATTTTCTTGTATTTATATCTTTTTTAAAATTTTTTTGTTGTTTTTTTTTCATTTTTTTTTTTTATTGTTATGGTTTTATTTTTTGGAATTTTTACGGAAACTTTCTGTTTTGCATTAATTAACACGTAGTATTTATATACGATTCCACAGTAATTTGTATACGTATAAAATACATACACGCCGTAAGTGAGTTGTAGTTTTTCGAAGTGTATTCTAGACAAGAAAATGTGGTCAGCGGATCTGTGGAAGCTTATCTGATGACCACCAAATACACGAAAGTACAAAAATCGAAAACATTCAAATGATTGTTCAACTAACTAGTTGAGAAGTGAAGATTAGATTTTGTTGCTATTGTTTCTGTTTCGGTTTCTTTCCATATTTTTTTTAAAGCGACGAGTTGCGTTTTATGGGGAGGAGTCTACGATTTAGGTCTGGACCAGGCCGCGTATATCTGCGACAGTGGCAGCCGGACTGGAGCCGACGACAGGCCCGCTGCTGTTGCTACTGCTGTTGCCGCCGCCGCTGCTGCTGTCGACAAAGAGCGTGGCAGCATCGATGGACGAGACAGCGTTCACGAGCAGATCATCGCCCACGTCGAGGAGATCGTTAAGGAAGGCGCTGTCGTGGTCGGTGCCGCCAATTGTCTGCTGCAGACACTTGAGGTTCTTATCGGCAATCTCGAGCGCACGATCCATGGCCTCGCACTCGGCTTGTTGCACTGCAGCGACGCATGGCGGCGCATGGCGCATGGAGGGGCACACACACATTAATTAGTACAGTGAAAGGCACAATTGATTTGGTTATTATTATTATTATTATGAAATACACACCGGATTGAAACAACTCGTTGAACGCATCTTCCGGCAGCGTATCAAATACATTTACCAAATCGTGCTCCTCCAGCAAATGGGCGCCATTCAATGCGATATCATCTATAAACAAGCAAAAACACAGTTAAATCTACTGCATAACACTACCAAGGCTCATCAGCCATTCACTTACCCGCATCATTCGCGCCTATCAGCTCCGACTCACTCAGACCGCCCAGGCCCGTATCCTCGGAGCTGGCATAGGCCGAGCTGTTCTCGCATATGCCAAACATGTGCTGACTCAGCAGACTCTCTGTGCTCTCCAGCGTTGTATTGTGGAGCGAATGCTGACCCCCTCCTTGTTGAGCGGAGGACATCGCGTTGCCAAAGGCTGCATTGAATGAGGGGAACCCACAGCTGATGCTGCTGCTGCCGCTGTTGCTGTTGTTGTTGCTGCAGTTGTTATTGTTGTTGTTGTAGTGCAAGCTGTTATTGTTGTTGTTGTGATGTAATTCGCTGCTGGCTGCCGTCAGCTGTGCCACAATCTGACTAATCTCATCGGCCTTGAAACTGGCATTGGCCAGCAAATTAACACTGGCGTCCAGGTGCTGCTCATCCGGCTCCAACTTGGGCAACAGCAGCTGCTGTTGATAATCGCTGAGCGGCGCCAGCGCTGGCGGTATTATCGAAAGCTGCGGCATTGCCACAGAGACGGACGCCGCCATTGTCGGTGTGTAGGGCGGCAAGGCTGAGTGCGACTTGGCCGATGATTGCGAATTGCTGGCTATCGATTCCAGAGAGGTGGTGCTGCTCTTCCGCATGGGCAAAGTTGTTGTTGCTATTGATGTTATTGTTGTTGTTGTGGGTGCAATTGTTTCCGGTTTCTTGACACGCTTCTGCGGACGACCCACTGGATTGGCATTTGGATTCGTTTTGCGTTTGCGCTTGCCGCTGGCCATCGCCGCATTAACAACTGCTGCTGCTCCAGCTGCAACAGGTATGGACAGTTGCTGGTTGCTGACCTTTTCATGCTGGTGTTGCTGCTGTTTCTGTTTGGACTGCAACACTAGGCCCGGCCGCAGCTGACTGTGAGCGGGACACAAAGCCAGCGTATGCAGCACATCAAAGACGGGCGTCTGACAGGCGGAGCCATCGACTCGCCAAGCCACACACGGCTGGAACAGCTGCTGTGTCGTATTGTGCACAATGTGCCGCTCACAATGTGCGGCCATGCTGAGCGTGGGCTGCTTGCAAGCGGTCACCAGACACCGATTGCCAATCCCACTGAGAGAGAGAGAGAGAGAAATGGCAACATTAATAAATTCATTCATTTATTATTTCACAATAGTTCACACTTACATGCCCTGCTGCTGGGACGCCGTATCCCGGTACTTGAGCAATAGACTCTGAACGGATTGGAGTCGTTGACGTGCCGCTCGCATCGGCAGCTCCTGTAACGTGCGCACGGAGAGCAATTGCAGCGCCTGATGGCGCAACAGACTCTTTCGCATCGCAATGCGCTCCTCGCGGTGATGCTTGCTGCAGTCGGCAGGGAGCCAGCGTGTCTGCAGACAGTAGGGCTTATTCTGTTCGAGGGGCTCATGCTCGCTGAAGAGCACGGCGTTGCGCTTGGATGCGACTGCAGCAACTCGACGACGGCGCGTTGGCTCCAGTTGAGGAGCAGGAACCGGAGCAGGAACGGTAGCCGGAGTAGAAACAGGAGGTGAAGCTGCTGTCACCTGGCTGTTGGTTTGCGACGTTGGCGGCTGCTCTTGTGCGGCATTTTTTGCAATTTGTTTGTTGGCCTTTCTACAATTGACGGCTGCTTGGGTTTTACGCTTCGCAGCAGCAACAGAATTGGCAACTTTGGAAGACGTTTGATTTTGAATGGCTACTGCTGCTGCGGGAGCTGCTGTGGGTGGTGCTGCTGCAGCTAATTGTGTTATGAGGGCGGGTGCGTTGGTTGTTGTACTTGTTGCAGCAGCCGCTGACAGCGGCGACGGCGTTGGCGGTGTTAGTGGCGCCACAGCGCCCAGTTGTTTCATCAGCGCCAACTTGGCGTCGACGGAACAACGAGGCGGCGTTTGACCCGCCAGCAATTCGGGCGGCTTGCGAAAGATGACATTGACGGGTATCTCGTTGAGATCGCTGTTGTCATCGACAGCAGCATCGGCGGAATGTGTTTTCATTGCAGTTGTCGCTGCTGCCACGGCAGATGCAGCTGCTGTTGTTGTGTTGAACACCGTTAGCGGTGGCGGATGCGTTAAATTGAATGCGGTACGCGTCTTGTGCAGCATCTCAACAATTGTAATGTTGTTGTTATTGTGATTATTGTTGGAATTCTGGCACGCCAGTGGCAAGGACTTCTTCTTCTTGAGGCATTCGACCTTGGCAAAGTGTTGCGCCAGTGTCGTATGATGAAACTTTGACGGCGGCAGCGAGCCACCCTTTGGCGGCGACATTGCTGCAGCGGATGCTGCCGCAGCAGCCCCAGCAGGATGTGGCAACACAATGGGCGACACCATCGCGGTCACAGCTGCTGTCGGCGTGCTTGCATTGCTAACCGTCGGCGAGGGTAACGAGGCGGGCGATATGGGCGGACTGACCAGCGCTGTGGCAACAACAATGCTCGTTGGCTGTTGCAGTTGTGACTGCTGCTGCTGCTGTTGTGGCTGCTGCTGTTGCTGCTTCTGTGTGCTGTCCAAGATGAGCGGCGTTTGCCATAGCGATGGCGTGTGCGTGTAAAGCGGTGGCGGTGGTGCTGACTGCTGTGCCTGTGGCTGTGGTGCAGCATGTTTTGTTATCAATTTCGCCGCCTGCTGTTGCTTGAGCAGCAGTTGTTGCTGCTGCTGTTGTTGTTGCTGCAACTGTTGCTGTTGTTGCGGACGCACCACGCAGACGTTGGTGGCGCGCTTTGGCGAAGCCTGCGACTGCAACTGCAGCGGCGATTGCTGTGTCGACGCTGGCTGCCTTTGAGATTGTGTGACATTATTAAAATTCGTTGTTGTTGTTGTAGCTGCTGCTGCTGCACCTAAAGACGCCTGCGCCTTTGTTGTTGCTGCTGCTGCTCTCACTGCAGCTGTTGCTGTAGTTGTGGTTGTTGCACTGCCATTAAACTGCGCAATGTGTGTTGCTGCTACTACTGTTGTTGCAGCAACAATGCTCGACTTTTTGTTGGCAACTCGCTGCTTGCTGTTATTGTTATTGTTGTTGCTGTTGCAGTTGCTATTTCTGCTGTGCTGCGCTTCGGTTAAGCGGGCTCGCGATTTCTGCAACAAATATAATAAATATGCATGTATTTGTTTGGGGTATTGTTTCTGTGGCTTTTTGTGTTTGTACGTTGCCTTGACATGACTGTATCAACAACTTACCTGTGCATTAAATAAAATTGGCGGTGTCGCTGTAACAGTCTCTGTGAATACATAGGGATCCTCGAACGTATTCGTTTTGGCGGCAGCAACACCAATATTCTCCACATCCACAATATCCACAACTGCCACTGCTGGCGTCGTTTTTGTAATTTTAGCTGTTGTTGCTGCTGCTGCTGTTGTTGTTGTTGTCACAATTCGTTTCGTTGTTGTTGCTGTGCTTTTTGCTGTTGCTACTGTTGTTGTCGCTGTTGTAATGAATCTTGACGCTTGCTGACATGACATGTCCAATTTGAAGCCGTTGCCGTTGCCTTAGCTATTTTCCCTTTTTCTAGTTCTCGTATGATTGTTAATGTGGTTCTTGTTCTTGTTGTTGCTGCTTTTTGGCGCCTTTGATTTTGTTATTTGATCTGCAATAGATAACGAGCAGTTAGTTTGTTGTCTGTGCGAAGTCGTACAAATCACCGCTGATAAGCATTGCCTATGAAACACACACACATATATACAGGCACCCCTTAAAGAAATCATTCAGTTTCACACACATGTAAAACCACTGCAATAACAATAATAATAACAAACACAGTGACTCAGTTTAGAATGCGGCCGGCATCAACAAAAATTTATAACGACCATATGTATACCCTGTTGTTCTTCAATATATACTGTAAAATTCGTTTCAAATTCAATATATAATTATAATTATATATACATATATATTATATTACATATATGTATTACAATGATATATATATGTATATATATATATATGTATATATATATATACATTTTAAAACCAAAAACTATATTTATTGCACATGCATGAAAGTACCCAATGGCAAGCATGTACGCGTTACAGGGTATGAAAACAAACTATGTGCATATGTATGTATGTATTGATGCTCGCAAATAAATAATTCTGTTTGTTTGCGCTCGGCGGTAAGCCAATTCGAGCGAATCGCTCGCTTTCTTCTTGCCTTGCCTTGGTTCCTCAACCCCCTCTGCTTCTTCTACGTTCCGCTCTTCCGTTGGGGCGAAGACAAAGCAAACGCAGAGTGCTGATAATACAACACAAAGCAAATTTTGCAATTATTAAAAAATAATAAACACTCGTGCACACAGTCACACACAACACACACACCAAGTTGTACATTCTGTTGTCGCATATTCGCGCAACTAAATGTACAATAAAAAACCAAAATGCAAAACGGGAACAAAAACAGTTTAGTTTATAGAGACATATGATATGCACAGATATGCACATATGTATATACAGGCACATACACACACGTATACACAAAAAAAAAAAAAAAACAAAGCAAATAACAAATATTGACTGCGCAGCACCCATGAAACCAGACAGAACCAACTGCGAATGCGAATTCGAACTGACCATATTTCCAATAGAAAGTGTATTTAAGTATTTCTATATTATGCATAACAAAACCAAATCATGTTCTCAATTTTACTCGAATTAAATAAATATATATGGCGTCTAAGTAGTTGGTATTAAGTTTACTTACAGCGTTTGTCGATAAATAAAAATTGAATGCAACACTTGTGTAATCGAAATAGAATTAAAGTGATTCATCGTAATAAGAACGAACAAGGAGAACCGATGGCTAAATCAATGATCGGAACTTGAAATAAAGTCATTATTTGGTGAACGTGCAAATCACATTATGATTTGATCGAGAGTATTTGTCTATAAAACGGAGACAATTTGTAGGAAACTGAGTAGTTAGACAGCTAAATAGGATTTTATGCATAAATATATAGTTAAATCAAGTGACAATCCTCTGGAATAATGAATACATATCAAATTATATAACTTGATTACAATGATTACGATAAGTAATTAAATTGTATCCACTGGTCGTGAATGGGCAAGGTGCATATTGTATTCATTTACATTGATTATCATTACAATGATTCAAGTGCACCCCTCTTACACTTATTGTGAGTATAATTTCACTAAGAGTAGTTGACAAATTCTATAGAGTGAATAAATGTCATAGGTAAATAATTGATTTCGACAGGCAAGGAGTTTTTATGTATGAGTGTGTTGTGTGCAGTTGGATTCATTGTTTAAGGTTTGTTTACGTTTCCGAGAAAGACGGAAATGACAAGACGACAAAAGAGCATTAAAAACATGCTGCAGCTTCAGCTTCAGCTTCAAATTATATTGAGCCAACCCACGCTTACGTATGCAAGACCCAATATGATGAGTGTTGTAGATATTTAAGTGTGTGTACGTGATTATTTTTGTTTATCATTGTGTGTGCAGCGACGAAGACGAAGAGAGAGAGAAGAGACAGAGAACGACTAACAACAGTAATATAAAGTACGGCATTGAAAAATTTAAGGTTAAAACTTAACGAATATGCTTAAAACAGAAATCAAACAAAAATACACATACATACATACATGAATAGGTAGGTAAAGGTTTTTGATCCTAAGCTGCAAGAGAAACCTGCGGCAACAATAACAACACAAACAACAAACGTATTTAGCGTACACACAAAAGAAATACAACCGAAGAAAAAGAACGAAAGAAACATTCCGATAATTGCAAATAATGACTACACTGAAGTTTGTAGTTAATGTTGTTGCTGCTATTATTGCTGAGATGTTGTTGTTGTTGTGGTTTCCGCCGCTTTGTGCCCTCTGCGCCTTCGTGTCCATCTTCTTGTTTTCGTCTTCTTCTTCTTGAATGAGGCTTGCCAGCAGGTTTAGCCTTTTTTGGAGCTAAATGTTAACTGGTTTTGGCTTTATTTTTCTCGAGTTTTAGTTTTGTGCAGAGCAGCATTTGGAAACGCTTGAATGCTGCTGATAAAATGACAAAAGAACCAGCTCGTAAGGCCAAGAAAGACAAAAGACAAAAAGTTAAAGCAACAACTAGTCCAAGACTGAAGAAGAAAACGTGTTGAAACCATAGAAAACTTTGCGGATGCTTCACAACAACCCAACACACAGATGAAGGGTTATAGAACTGCCTATCGACGAACTACAATGACAATCGCACAGAATTAAAATGTTGTCTCTAGGAAGTAAGGCCGGTTTAATCAAATCAATAATTTAAAATTTCGCTCTCTATTACAACATTAGATACTATTGTAGCTATATTTTTGAATCTCAACGACGTTTCAGACACTATAATCAAATTATTCAAATTTGCCTTTGGTGTTGGTCGGAAAACTCATCTGAAATTAAGTCTTATTATTTTGGACTTTCTTGCGGCAATAAAAATAAATTGTTGGTAATTTTCAGAGATTTCCTTGCTGCCCTTACACAAAATACAATGCTAAGCATGTGAACTGAATACTTCTCACTTTGATTGGGTTCGTTGCCTGCTGCTCTTAAGACAGCCAGGCAGGCAACCTTTTTCAGAACTCTCTTTTGTGTACGATCTTTGGAGGCATAGTAAAATGGAATATCTCATACGAATCGTTGTCGTTTTGGAATATGAAGGTTGGAGTTGGTTGTATAGGTTCGACTCAAAGGTCTGCTGATGAACTGCTGTGACAGCAATAGCAACAACAACAGCAGAGGGCAGGCAGCAGGCTGAAAGCCGGTTGAGAGGTTAATTGCGAGAGCAAAGCGCTCACATTCGTTACGCTTAACGCTCGGCAACAATAGAGAGTGAGTGGAAGGAAACGCACCACTACTAAACAGTTGCCAGCCAGCCAGTCATCACAGCTTCGTATTAACTAGCTTATGTATCAAATTAATATGTTGCATGCATGCACACACATACATACATATGTTGGCAACTCTCGAAAAATCAACAAAGAACTGTCGCTCTTTAGTGTCAGCGCATTTGCAAAAAAATATTTGAATGAAGAGAGCTGGAAAAAGCAACAGCAGCAGCAGCCGCCGTCGTCGTCGTCGCTTCAGCGTGGTAATTGACGCACATCTGAAATTACAATTAAGTCCACACACACATATACACACTTACGCACATTTATTGCAAGTGCAGGAAAAACGAACCCGTTTGTTTCCTTCATAACCGGAAACTGAAGGCTAAACGTGTAAAGGCAAAATGCAAAAAAAATTAACTCATACATGTGGAAATGTACTCATATTTATGTACTCTCGTGTATCCCATATATATGTGTGTGTATGTTGATGATGACGACGACCGCAACAAGGCTGTGTGCCAAACAGCGGCAGCAGATGGTAGAAAGAAGCAAAGCGAAGAGCGCCAACAACAGGCAGCTAGCAGTCAGTCTGTCTTCTGTCAGCCTGTAGGCTGGCTCTGACTGTGTATGTGGGTGTGTGTGTTTGTTCCGTTACTTCCCACTTTGCATTTTTGTACACATATCCCAACATGTAATTGCATATGTGTTTTGTATGTGTGCACAAAATACACTCATACGCTTACAGCTGCTTTTTTTGCGGCACCTTTCGATGGGTGCCGTTAAAGAGAACTTAAGTCAGCATACTCTCTCTTGCTCTCGCAGCTCTAATCACGAGATTTTGGCAACTCACACTTGCACACACACAAACACAAAGTTAAGCATCACTCTGATGAGTGTAGCGAAACGTAATTAACATCAATCCACATACTCGCAGTGACGGTCACACTGTGTGACTGTCACTGCGAGTGTGAGTGTGCGATAATAAACAAATCAACAAAACAAAACAAATGATGAATTCTCGTGTAAATGAACTTTCAGGGCGTTAAAATGAAAGCGGCTTTTTATTTATTTAGCACAGCACAAACTTTTGCACTTGTATTTGTGTAAATAGGACTTTTTTTACACATATATGTTCATAATAGAGTAGCGCACTTGAAATTCGACATTGCCGGCATTTTTCGTTACGTTTTTCGTTATTCGTTCAGCCGTTTGCTTGCTGCTAAGGCGGTGTCGGAGACGTCGCCCTTTTTTTCATTTCTTCTTTCTCTTTCACTTCATTTCACTTACACACACACACTCACGCACGTATATATATATTATGGGAGACACACCCATACCAGCGCAGGCACCGCGCCACTACGGTGCATTTATTACCTTGTTTGTAATTTATTTGCACTTGCTTCTCATTTGATGTGTATTATCACTACTTTTACCAAAATTTCTTCTTGTGTCATCGAGTATTTCTGTATCAGCGCGTATTTTCTTTATGCGCCGTTTAAGTTTGTTTTTGATTTGCTGCAAAACAAGAATGCGTCACAAGCAGTGCAAACACACACAGTGATAGGCAGACACACTCACTCACATACACACACACGAGCGCACACACACACAAACAAGCGAATAGCCACAGCAACAAACGAGAGAAAAAATTTACCCAACCGTCTGATGACGAGTCAAACGTCAAACTGGCGCCGCAGCGACGCGCGCAATATACTTGGTTTTGTTGTCTTTAGGTACCCTCCCAAATGCAGGGTTGCCAGCATGTCTTCATGAATATTTTGAACAAAAATATTAATGTGTGCATTTGCCAAAATATGTAGTGCCATTGACAACAACTAATTTACTTGTATTTTACAAAGTAAGAGGACAAAATAATATTATAATATGATAGAAATCAACAAATACCAAAATTCAACTAAAATGTTGACAACTCTAGACGTTCGCTTTTCCCGCGCTCTCTTCTATTTGCTTGCGCACACATACACACGCTACATGTAGCTTACAGCAATTCAGCGCTCTCATATATACATGCTCTACATACAGCTCTTAAAAATTCACCAACACACTCTTGCAACACACACAAACACAGAGACAACCAGATACATTGCCAATTACGCCAGCAAACAGACCTGGGAATTTTTTTTTTTGCAGAAAATTTTTTCTTTGCACCGTAAGCACACTTTCAAATGCAATTTTCTATTTGAAATCGTGTGTTTGCCAACTCGAAACAACCGCCTAGCTGTAGGAAAATATTTATTTGTACACTTTATTGTGTTTTGGTTGCTTGGGCATCAATTTAAATGCGTTTTTTTAAATTTATTTTATTTTTCACGCGCCTGCGAACTTTTTAAGCGTGTGTGCGCATACGTGTAAAAATGTTAACACACACACACACAGCCAGAAAATTTTAACATTTTGCTGAACTGCTATTAACAGCGAAGCTGAGGAAACTACTCTTTCTCGATTTTCGAGTTGTTTAAGAACTACAATTGTGGGTTTTGTTATTCAAATCGTTGCGAATGAATGTAATTAATTTTTCAGTAAGAAACAATTTATTTGCCAATCTCTAGTTTTAACGAAAAACGTCGAATGAAACATCAATTTGAATATAACAGAGCCACAACTCAACTGTTAAGAAAAATCATTTCTGATAACAAGTCACAGTTACAGTGAGTAACGGTTACGCTCATCATTATTTTATTCCTATTTCAAAAATTCTACACAAATCGGTTATAGATGAATATGATTTACACTATGAATTCAAGTTGATTTAAAATTTTAATTCGAATATGGTCACCCAACTGTACATTAACTAGATGGAGCAGCTTTATATTGTTATCTGGAATCCGTCGCGCTCTCGCAGCAGCTTTGAGCCTCACACGCATCTCGATCGATTCGCTCAGTCAGGCAAGTAAACTTGACTGGAGCACGACGTTCAGTGTCAGTGTCGTTACTGTTGCCGCCGCCACAACACAACTATTACTATTAAAAAATAAAACAGTACAGCAATATCTTGGTGAAAGCGTCTAAGCATGGGAATTCATTCCGCTGTGACTCTGGTTGCTGTTGTTGCCTTCTCATTGACATTGAGTGCAACTGGTAATTATGGGGAATTTCAAAAGATAAAGCGCAATAAAAGCTATATTCAAACACTGGCAATTATCAATAGCTCAGCAGCAAGGAGATTGCACGACCCGTACCACAGATGGACGCACTCCGGGTCAGTGTACGCCGATCAGGCAGTGCGGCTACTTTATGCGAATGCTCACAGCGCCCACTGTCAGCCAGCGGGATCGCATACTGATGCGGGAAAACCAATGTAGTCCCAAGCAGCCGGATGATAAGATTGTTTACGTACATAGTACACATTATTCATATTTTTGTTGTTATATGTATATTTATAATTTTTTTTATTTTTAGGTATGTTGCCCATTGGATGGTAAACAGGGACTGAGCGCTCTACGTCATCCCCTGTTGCCCCGCGAATGTGGCGCTGTTAAATGGGAGCGCATCGTAAATGTGACGGAAACCAAAATCAAAGAGTATCCTTGGCTGGCACTCATCGAGTATACGAAACGTATGTTTTCGGGTTGGACTGGGGGAGGGGAGCTAAAGCACATTTAATTTTAAGTAATCATCATCTACTCTTATCTTTCTCGCTCCTTACGCAAAATGTCGCAGCAACCCAAGACAAGCTTCACGCTTGCGGCGGCGTTCTCATCAGCGAACGTTATATTCTGACGGCGGCACATTGTGCGACGAGTACGGTGATAAGCAATTTGGGCTGGCGGATCACCAATGTGCGGTTGGGTGAATGGGATACGTTGACGAATCCGGATTGTCACGTTACGAACAATGGAGCGGGCGAAACGGTGTGTGCTCCACCCTATCAGGATGTGCCAATCGAAGAGATCATTGTGCATCCGTCCTATAACAAGGATGGCGTAAGTCAAATGCACGACATTGCCATGATCCGCTTGAAGGATCCGGTGCAATTCAGCGATTTTTTGCAGCCCATTTGTTTACCCAATAAGCAACTAGACGCCGATGAACTGGTCGGTCTGGTCACCGAGGTGGCCGGCTGGCAGGCCAAGTCCAGTTCGAGGATGAAAAAAAGTGAAGTGATCATCACCGCCTTCGAAAAGTGCCAGAAAAAATATGCGGAACGAAATGTGCAGATTGTCCCATCCCATTTGTGCGGCGCTCCCAATGCGGACGAGTGTCACGGCAACTCCGGTGGACCCCTGATGCTATTACATGATAATGCCTATCTCCTTGGCGGCCTTCTGTCGTTTGGCCCTGTGCTGTGTCCAAATCGGGACCACCCGGATATCTACACACGTGTCGCTGCCTACACCGAATGGATCATTGAAAATTTGAGGGCATAAGGCAAATTATATACAAAGTCCATGTGCAAATTATATATTATGATTTTACTTGAAAATACAACTTATCAATTTAATTTATTTGGTTTTGATTTTATTATTTTCTGCGTTTTATTTTGGTGGATCTCTTCTACATAGTTTTCTTTGTTGGTTGCTGCATTGACTAAATGGCAAATCAAGCAGCAAAGACTGTTGCATACTTATATATTGCATAATTATATAATATAATTTTGCGAAAAATTACACGTTCACAATTTTTATATAGTTTGGATCTTATTATTTGCTTCGCCCTTGTGTGTTTGTTTATTTTCTCATTGATCTTTTCCACATCGTTTCATTTACAGGTTGCTGCATTGGCTAAGTGGCAAATCAAGCTTGAAAAAGTGTTGCATACTCTTAAGCGACGACAAAAAGCTACAAAATGGTCATAACCCTACAGATTTTCGAATGCTACTTTAGATTCGCAAGGACTAATTCTATCGGACTGCATTCAAGAAATGTTTTTTTTTTCCTATCACATAGCGTTACATACCGCATGAATAAAGAATATGACTGGTACAATTCAATCAAATCTGTTAACCTGATTTGTTTTTCTAGAAGTTGGACTAATCAATGCTATTAATTTTGTACCAATTTAATTTAATTTATTTAATTAATTTAACTTGAGCTATTCTTACTCTAAATCCTTATCAATCAAATATTGATTTGAATATTCCAATCTGATTATCCGATTTCATTTGAACGCGCCTCGATATGTTTCGCACCTATCAATATCGGTTTTTGCGTACTTTCAATTATCGATGGCGAGTGTTTTTTTTAGCCATTCCTTTTTTATACGCGCAGCTCTCGCTCCGAGCGCAGGTCTTAAAATATATTTTACAAGTGTTTCTCTTGATAAAAATCAGTATCTTGTGCTAAACTCGAAAGTCCACTGTTGTCTGATAAAATATTAAATGGCAGAAGCTCCAAAATCAGGTATAAAATTGACATAAAGTCGCGCAAAACAAAATTTCCATTCGTACGTATGTAAGCGACAATGGCGACTATTTTATTGGTTGACATCGATAGCATTTCGCTACTGCGCTGCTGTTGCTTTCCAACCCACAGAGTTGTATTTTGCGATAAATTTTCAGCCGTTATGAGCAACATTCGAATGCAACAAATTAAGTGTGATTGTTTTGTTGCAGAAAGTGCCCAGAGTGTTGCATCCCAGAGGCGCAAGCATCGCCGTGGCAAGAAATCGAAATTGCTACCCAAGAAGACGAAGAATCAATATCCGCCTTGGAAAATGGATATGTTGCCATCGGCACCGGGTGGCAATGGCGCCCCATCCGCCGGTAGCAGTGTGTCTCGTTCGAAACTGGTGCGCTCCCGTTCACTGCTGGTGCCGTACAACACCAATCGTTTTCTTATGGAGGAGCACATGTCCGAGTTGCCCAAGGATGACTTTGACGACAATTGTTTTGGCAACCAGACCGAGGACCAGGAATTATTTCTCTCCAAGGAGTTCTCAAACGTTTACGAGCGGGCGCGTGTGGAGCGTCTAGAGACAATGAGCAAGCAGGAGCTCATACAGGAGTGTCTGCAGGTGGAGGATCGGTACTCAAAAGATCAAGGCCGCCAGCGTCAGCAGAGCCTGAATGCGCAGAATATATCCAAGGAGTATGGCGTCAAGATACGCGCTCTCGAGGAAAAGATACGCGAGCTAACGCGAGAAAACCACAGTAAGTAATTTTTGCATTTATATCTGATTTACTCAATAGTTAATTGAATTTCATTTTTAGTGCTGCGTTCGCACATCATCCGCTCGCGTTCGCCAACCACAACTGCAGCAGCAGCGGCTGCAGCTTCGCCTCCATCGGCTGCTGCGCCAACGGCAAGCGCTGTTTGTGAGCTGCAGGCACGTCAGCAGCCACAACAGCCACCAACACCAATGGACTCGTCCAGCGAGGACAGCGAAAGTGATAGCAGCAGCACAACGTCCAGCACCACGTCCAGCTCGTCCTCCAGCAGCGAGGGCCATGAGATGGGCGTGGCGGGCTTGAATATTGCCAACGGTCATGCAGAAAGCCATCGACACAAGAGTCGCAGCCATTCGCGTTCGCCCATTCTGGTGATCAATGGACATGCCAATGAGGAGGAGCGTCTACTGCTGCTAGACGCCAGCCGCATGGAAGAGGACGACAACTCCAGTGAGGATGCCAAGAATAACGATGCAATCGATGGAGCACCCAAGTAAATTCGCCTGGCAACCAACTAATGTGTACATATACCACGATCTGATACTTGTAGCAGGCACTGTTGCTTGATTTAGGGAACCCCGGCTTAATTTTATTAAGTAGTTTTTGATTCTTTTAAGATGTAGCTCTAAGCTTGCTCAAAATTCCCATTAATTTTATACTCACATGAAACCGAAAAGTTAAGTAATCTAAAATGAAGAGCACAATTAATTTGAAATAGTCTAGTTTGTGTCGTAATCCAAATCCAAGCTTCCGCTAAAATCGCTTTTAAAATGTGGTGCGCTTAATAACAAACTTTTATATATATATTAAAAAAAAAAGACCGATTTTGAATTGAAATAAATGTTGAATTGTAATATTTAACTAAAAAATAATATAATTTATAATTGACTCTTAACCTAGTTGCGTTTACTGGCTATGGTCTTAACAAAGGAGCTAAATTCGCTGGCGTAGAGGCGTTTGGAAATCCCAGCATATGCCACGCCCATTAGCCGTTGCTCCGGTCCACTCAAGGGGGGCTGAATAGTTGGGCGTTTGGGTCCACGCACCGGCATCCAGCCACTGATTGGCGCCACATTGGCTACCATACAGCCTCGAACGGCGACTGTGAGCCCGACCAGCGCCAGAGAATCATCGCGGTATTCTTGGAGCAGCATGTCCGACAGTCCAATATCGTCGACAGCCGCATTCACATGCGAAATGTCCTGGAAATGTGGCAAATAGTTGGCGTGTATAAAGTTAACAAAGTTGCGGGGCTCTGTGCAAAATGCCTCAGCCAAAGTCTCGGGGCTATGCAGCAGTTGCTTATCCTTATCCTTATCCTCAGTATCTGAAAATAAGAAAAGATGTAAGCGATTCTTGGAAAGTATTCACTGCTTACATTTGGGATTGAAGACGCGACCGAGCGCATGCATCATGGTAATGGACTCGTCTCGTCCAATCGACTTTAGCGTGCTTGTTGCCTTCCGTTTGCGACCTTTGCCAGCAGCCGAGGTTATATTGGTCAGCTGCTTGGTGGCCATGCTAGGCGCACCTCGGAGCGATCCAAAATGCAGGTTGATGAGAGCATTGCGTATATCGCCTTGGGCACACACCACAATCGAGTCCAACACATTTTGTGTGGGCGCCTTGTATAGCGCCTTGTGTTGCTCCTGCTGCTGCATCAGTGTCGCAAAGCGTTTCATTGACTTTTGCATAATGGTTGATGCGATCGCATTGAAGCTGATGTGTTCGATGCGCAGTTTGGTCTTCAGTTGATCCGTGAACAGTTTGTAGCTAATGTTGAGCATGCGTGACTTGCTGTCGGCCACTATGAAGATCAGGGGTGATTTGCCATAGTTTACATATTCGCTAAAAAGACTTAGTTGAAGAAAGGTATCAAAGTGTTCCATTTACTTACTCCAGCAAGTCCTCAAAGGTGGATGCTGCATCTTTGAGCAGAGCATTGGGAAAGTCCTCGACAAGCAATAGACGTTTGTTATGTGCTGCCAGCAAGGATTTATAGCGGGAGGCGCGCAATAGAAAACTCTTGAAGGCTTGCAGCTGTGAACCCACATAAGAACCCTCTGGCTGATCGCCCAGCGCATTGATTTCCTCGCAGTCAACGGGATTGATCCATTCCTGCAGTGCGTATCCCAACTCTTTGGTCAGTACGCGCACCGCGGCAGTCTTACCACAACCGGCCGGTCCAGTCAGCAGGCAAATCTGTGCCGGATACTTTTTTCGCATCGCCTCACAATGCTGCAACCAGTTGCGCACATCGGCAATTTTCTTGGGATGCACAGCCAGCTCATCACTGACACTGGGCGCAAAGCTCTCCATCCAATTGTCACTGACTACAGGCGCCGTATCACCCCCGTCTTCCCCATTGTCTGTCAGATCCACAACTTCATCCGTAGTTGGCTTTACGATTTTTCTTTCGGATTTGGAGCCGGCAGCTGCTGCAACTGTTGCGCTTCTTGTGCGCTTGACGGGCAACGGATCCGGACTGGCTTTCTGTATCAAGTTCAGATCACTGAACGCGGATTTCACCCACGGTTTCTGTGCGCATGTCGCTTGTGTTAAAAACTTTTTATTTTAGTAAGATCAAAATTGTTTACCTTTTTTGCGCTCATTTTAATCACAGCTATCGATATGACTACTTTTCGAAAACATAAATCGATTGGGCGATAGTTACATAGAGCGGTTTGGGTGCGATATTATTTAGCTAGACTTCCATCGCTAGATAAAAATAAGTGTTGCCCAGCGCCATATATCATGGCGCATTTTTTTAAACATATATTTAGTGAATTGACCGTTAAATGGAGAAATTTATGGCAAAGCATTTATTAATTGAATATTGCGTAAGTCTGCCAATATGAAAATTGATCTTATCTAGCTTAAGATATAGAACGTGACGTTAGCGATGCAATATCCACACAGTGGCCGAAGTGTGGTGGCGCTGTTGCGGATTGATGGCTTCTCCTCTTTCGTGAGGCATGAGGCGAAGCGGCGTATGATGCCATCCAGCTCGACACTCAGCTGGGAGTCGGTGCTGAGCGTGTAATCGATAGATCTCCAGTGCTGCCTTCAGCAGGAGTCCAGCGTCAGGTTATATATGTTTGGATTTTCCGAAAATCGGTTGTGTCGCTCTCCACAACGTGCTGTTAGACATTGTAGCATTCCCAAGCTTAAGTCGTTCATACTGCTGTGAGTGGATTTGGGCAATGATCTAGGGACGCCTCCATTTTGAATACCGCGCGAAGTTGTCGGTTTAATGACACTAGCGGTTTTCATGCTGCACATATAAAATACTAGTTAGCTGCTCCATTTTGTTAATTTTAAAGCCAATTCTATTCTTTATTAAATACATATATTTGTATCCTTATTCTATGGGTGCTTTTGCATGCTTAGATAATATATAAAACATATAAGATAACATATAAAGTAAAATGAGAACGCAACATGCAAAGAGTCTTCTTTTCTTAACATGCTCAAAGATTGGGGCAGTTTTGTTGTGTATGTTGGTATTGTTGTAGTTGTGGTTATTGTGGTTATTGTTATTATTGGTATTGTTAGCTTTTGGGCACACTCGCAGGGTCGCTCTGCATAAATTGGGCGCCCTCGGTGGGCGCCAATGGATTTGTGGTTGCATGCAGACGTGGAGCCTCAATGCCCATCCTGCATTGCATTGTGTTAGTATTATTATTATGGTTGTTGTGGAATGGGACTGGCTGTGATGACTTTGGTTCGAAATCCGCAAGTTGTGGCGTTGAGAGCAAGAGAGGCGCATGCTTCAACTCGCTGCTGGAGTGACTTTTAGGCATAACAGGTGGATGCACTGCGATAGGAGTGCACGGACTGGACTTAAAATGTGGCAGGGTTGCGTGTGTGTTAGTAATTGTTGCGGAGGAGACGGTGGCCAAACAGAATGCTGGGTTCGAGATGTCACTAATACTGATGCGGCTGCAGCTCCTTCTAATACTGCTGTTCTTCCTGCTGAGCGTGGATTTCGATACGTACTTATTCTTAGCGAGTCCTCCACAGGCGTAAGGCTTGGTTTTCAGCAACAGGCAGCGATAAAGAAGGCAGCTGATGACCAACAGGGGCAACACAAGGAAGAACAGAATGTAGAAGAAACGCGAGATGCTCAGATGGTCTGCAAGGAGAAAATATAATAATGAAATATAGAATGGTTAAATTTAAAGATCTGAAAACTTAATCAATATATCAATGCACTTTCTACTATTAGACCAACGTAATCAAAAGGATCTCTTTATAACAGATAATACTAACTGCTTGGATTTGTGACTGGTCCACTGTCCACGGAGCCACCGAGTCCGAGTTTGTTGCATGCCTCACCGCCGAATCCTACGTCGCAGTGGCAATGCCCCCGGCTGTTGCAGACACCGTTGGCGTTGCAGTCTTGTGGACAGCTGGCAACCATGCCTAGTTGGCGCACTCGCTCCAGAGCCAGGCACGTTTGATTGTAGCACATTTTCTGATCACCACACTTGGCGCCATTGGGCGTCATCCCAGGATCGATGATCTGTTGGCCGAACTTAAAGAACGCCGTATGGCAGACGTATACATTATGGTATTCGGTGGCATATGACTGAAATGGTTCAGCAAATTCAATGCCAAATTCGAGTTTCTCATTGTAATGGATGCACTGCAGCATTCCACATAGAACATTCTCCGGCGTGCACTTCACAAAGCTATCATTGAGTAGATCGTAGCCACAGTTGCCCATTATCGAGCCTTGCTCATTGTGGTGCTTATAGCAGTGCGCCGCGTTGTCGCCCGAGGGTCCCCACAGGATGCGGCACTGACTGGCATGCGACCGACAAGTGCCCTGGAAGCAGTACGCCTGATTATTATCGCATGGCTCCGTGTCACGACGAAACACATCTGCCGGGCAGTATTCCGACTCGCCGGTGCAGTACTCGGGCAGATCGCATTCGTTCTCCGAGGGTCTGCAAGCGCTGCCCGGCAGCTTGGGCCGGCATGTGTCGAGATCACAGCACTCGCCCGTGGCACAGGAGGCATTGATGTGTAGCATGCAGGTGTGGGCATTGCAGCAGCTATTCTCACAGTGGGTGGGCAAACCACAGTCGCACTGCTCGCCGGGCTCTACGAATCCATTGCCGCACTGCGGCGATTCGAATAGCTTGGTGGGTTTATTCCTCAGGCAATAGTTCACACCACGCGAGAAGGCAATGGTCAACTGATCGATGCTGCAGCTGCTCCAGTGCACCGGCACCACGGCCGTACTCGAATCATCCATTAAACACTTCTCGTCCGTACAGCGGCAATCGTCCGTGTCGTGGTCCATTCCGAAATTGTGGCCCATCTCATGCGCCATTGTGGTCGCAACCACTGCCAGAACCGGACTGTGTAGCCTGGTGAAACCGGCGGAGCTATGATACGAGCAAATTAATCCTTTAGGGGACTTGCCCACCACGCTGTCTGCAAATTTCTCCTTGGTCAGCAGCTGTGCATGGTCGTTGGGATGATCTGCCATCAGCTTTGTTCTGCGATAGTTAATGAAGTGTCTCAGCGTCAATGTGCCATTGTAGGATACCTTAATCTCATTCGATTCATTCCAGATGACAACTCCCACAAGAGCCACAAAGATGTTCAGCGGCTCATAGAGCTAAGAAGTGATAGGATCAAGGATTAGTTAATCAACTTGTCTGCTGCTGATGATTCAGTGTACTCACGGCGTTGATAATGTTGGCCAGATCCTTGCAATGCTGATGCACTCGCTTGGTATTCTCACCGAAATGCTTGTACACCTTGTTGTCCACGACAATCACCAGCTCCACATAGCTGGAATACTTGTCGGCATTGTATGGACCACGTATCAGTTGACTCTCATCCGTGTGGCGTCGCTGGCGTCTCAGCATGCGTTTGATTTCGCCGCCATCCAAGCGATGTGGCAGCTTTAGCTGCTTCAGCTCCTGCTCTGGTTCTTGCTCTGACTCCTGCTCCTGTTCCTGCTTATGTTCCATCCCGCTCTGCTCGTGTGGACTGTGGTTGTCAGTATGGCTATCGTAGCCACAGGTGGCATTCTGCTGCAACATGTCCGCGTGTCTGTTATCCAAACAAGAAAATAAATATATATTTTTTTGAGTAATTTGATATTTCCGCGGCCACAAATATTAATAACGGAAGTGCGAGTCGTAAACGGGCGGGCCTCAAGACTCAGATATGGCAACTAAAAATGGGCAGACTAATAAAGCAAATGTTTATTGAACGCAAATAAGGCAAACATTGAGGCAGCTAACTCCGGAGTTTGTCCCTGCCCCTGCCACTGGCAACAGTGGAATAAGCGACCTTTCTATAAGATGTGTGTGCGTGATATTTCCACATTCAGGTGAATGCGTTAAAATTGATAGAAATAGTAAGTGCTGAGAAAAGTAAATTGAAAATTGCCGCAGTTTTATATTGGAAAAAAGTCAAGATTTTATTATAATTTATGTTAAACTTGACTTGGACTATAATATACCATATTTAACATATTCTTGTTTCGATTTTTAAAGTGCTTGCAGTTAATAATAGCTGAAGGGATACCTTTAGAAAGATTTCAATTACCCTATAATTATAGCATACTTGTTATATTATTTATTTACAAGTTTTTGCAACAAGTAACCCCAAGCTTTGATTGTTAGGGTTATTGACTGTTATTGACTGTGGAGCGCTGTTCAGCAAGAAACTGTTTCCTAGTTCTGAAGGGAGTGCAAACTTTAAACTCTTTATTTAAGTCTCTCTTCGTTGTCCGTTAGTTTCTGTCGTAACTCACCTGAGCAGATAATGGTCATCCTGCAGCCGTCCGCTGCCATTGCTGTGTGGGTGAATGAAATACGTGTCCTGGCCATCGAAGACAACCCCATTCAGTGCGCCATCGCAGGTGGCTAGTGCCACACTTGAATCTGGCCGTCCGCGTATGTGTCCCTGGTGAGTTGCAGATAATTGTAAAAACGAGCCATAAAACCACACACACACTAACAAACTCACCTGATAATGGCATAAATCAACGTCAGTCTTGGTAAAATTGCGCACCACATAGCCGGAGTCGCCTTCCAGCTGGTTGCTGGCATTCTGATAGCGCAGGAAGTGGGCTTCGGGGAGGAGGCGATCGTTGCGCTGCAGTTCGATTTGGATGCGTTGTCCTTGGTGCGTGTAGCTCAGTGATAAGCTCGGCGCATGCAGACCATCCTGGAAACAGATAAACAGGTTCCAATTTGTTATATGTTTTGGATAGCTTTTAGAATTATGCCTCCCATTACTTACCGTTGCATCCAGAGTGCTTTGCAGGCTGCGCTTAGTGCGTCCATGTTGCACTTGGGGGCGTATCACAGTGTGAGTTGAAAACTCATTAAGGGCAGGAAAATAGTCACCAATGTGTGCTGCAAATACACAAGTGCCACAATTTGAACAACAAGTTGAACATTTTTAATTTTAGACAGTCAACAGGCACCCAAAAAATGATTGTTGCAAAAGCTGCTATATGTAATACGAGATAATACTTTTCATCTTTGCATAGCATATTTTTCACACTCTTAAATACCCCTGACATTTTAGATTTGTATACTTCGTAATCATTTAGCTTTGCTTGAGCTCACAAATATATTAGATTAAGTTCAAAATCAGCAGTAGTTTAGTTCGCACTAAAGAAAATATCATGAATATGTGATGTTTTTGTGAAATATGTTTTGGTGTTTACTATTTCACGCCGTGATTAAGGCATAGGCACATATATAAACTTATAAATATATATATATATATAAACATTATTTAAATTTAATTATATTATAAAAGTAATAGCTCCCACAGGTACAAGGCGCCTGCTGACTCATAATTGAAACCGCAGTTGACTAAGTAGCCCCACCTTACCTGTTAACCGCTTCACTACTATCCATAACCATACACTCTACCTGACCTGAGCTAACCACTGTTCTGTGTCCTCTGTAACAAGGTGTGTGCGTTTCTGTATGTGTGCATGGGTGTGTATAGAGTAAAAAGCTTTGTTTTTTTTATGCTTGCCAAACAATACCTTTTTATATAATATAGTTTATTTGTTTACTAAGCTAAGCTGGTTCAGAGTAATTAAAAATACCACTTGAAGTGTTTTCTGATTATAATTATTGACAATTTTACTTATTTAGTAGTGGTAACGGCGATTTTTAGAATTACGAAAGTTAAGTTCAATATATATAATTTTTCTTTTAAAATAGGAAAGTAACGGTTATCTTAGGCATGCCGAAGATTCCATAGCCTTGTAGACCGGAATCAACATTCGACATACTATTATTATTTTGTGTGTGTTTAAACAAAGGTTATATTAAATTATTATTAATTTTGAAATAATTTCAAAACCCCAACTCCCTATTATGAATTGCTTCTATGCATATTTAAATTTTATATAGCTGCTTTTTTTTATCAACTTCCGCAAGTGATTACATTGAATTCATCTTGGGTATTGCTTTATTTGTGTTGTAGAGCATGGCACTTACATTGGCACCCGATTAATTAGTACATTAGGTTTTGGTAATAAACAGTTTAACTACAATTTTGCTTCTATTCACAACGGTTACGAATAACGCCCAAATGAAAATAATGCTCTTTAAAGCGAATAGACTGATTGAAAGTAAATATCTAAGCAGGTACTGCGAGTCTTTAACTATATCCAAATATATACATATAAATGAAGTTAATTCAATTAGCACTTGGTGCTGCCCGCATTTTGTTTCTTTGTGGTTTTTGGATTAAAATATGTATTTAATGAACATCTTGAAAAGTTAAAAAGGTTTACTTGATAAACATACAGTTTTGAAATCTAAGACAGAAAAAAGGATAAAAGAATATGTGGAACTCAAATGTATGATTTTTATCCTCTTAAACTTTCCACTATTAAAAAAAACAAGGCAATCACTAAGGCCATTCTTGACAGCTATGTGTCTTAGCAGTTTAATGTTTGTCTACCTCCAAAAGAGGTGTTGATGAACTGGGTTTTTCCTGGATAGAACATCAGTCACTTCTTTGCCTGTGTGCCCTGGGACCTAGTAGATCATTGTTCCATTGGCTTCTCCTAGTTTATATAGAATCCCTACACATTGGCATACCATTACTGAGACAACTTGCGCCTTTTCTCCAAGCCTGCTTCTTTGCATATGTTCCTTACATATTACATGTATGAGATTTTGCATATGCGAAGTTTGTTGGCAGAGTTGCGTTACTCACCTTTTGACTCCGCGTTGTCAGCTGTGACGAGAACGATGTGTTGTTGCAAGCATATGTTGAGCAATAGCAACAACAGGACAAAAGGCAACGGCAATGGCAACTGCAACGGCAGCTGTTGTTGCTGCAACTGTAATTTTAAATGGGAAAGAGGAAAAGGCATTTTCTACTGTCTCGCTCGAATCTTAAGAATCTAGAGCAATTGCAGTAATGTTGCCGCTATTGTTGTTGTCAAGAAGAACGAGAATTGCAACTTGCAACACACACAATCACTTACTCCCGGGAAATAAACAAAAGCTGTTATCGGTTTTTAAGGAAACAAAAACGGTTATGTTTGTTGTTCGTAGAAATTGGAAATTGATAATGATTTAGCGAATTTAATTTATAAAATATAATTCAATTAATTAATCTTTGCATAAGTTTCAATTTTATGGAAAATAACTCAATTCAGTTTAACACTCGTAGTTGTTTATCACAGAAATAAGCGTGGGCAAATTAATAAGATAAGACCGGAAACAAAGCCGCACAATGCGCCGACACGACGACAATTGAAAAGAAACTGACAATTTAATCCCATTGCGAGCTAATAAGAGTAACCAGAGGCAATTCACAATAACAGGCCTGATGAATAGTTATCGATAAGTCGAACAAATTCATATCCTTTCCAAGCAGTCAGTTTTCTGTCATGTAACGCTTTCGCGAATTTTTGAAAGTCAACTACAAATTCATTTATATTTATGAGTAATATATTACATGGAGTTCACAAACGTACGAGTTCTTTGCATTTTTTTTTAAATTTACTTGCTTTAAATCCAAGACGACAGTCCTGAGTGACTGAGTGAAGATTCCTTTTAGGAAGACAGTCAGTAGAAAATGGTGTTTTGAAATGTGTAAGAACAGTTGCTTAAAATTGTGCTTTATTTTAGGTAAATTCAAATTGTTATCGATAATAGGCAGACCGATAACTGCATGAATGAGTACATTTTTCCACTGCCAGACAAAATATTAAAGCTGTGCTTCCCCAGCGCAAATTATTTAAATATGATTTTACTGAACTGAACGTCAAAGGTAGAAAGTAACATCTGCCGAATTGAATAAATGTCGAATTAATTCTTTATTTATTTTTAAATATCGCAAGTGCGCTTTACAACTGTACAACATGATAACATTACACATTTAAGATTACTGTGGACTATTCTGCATTGAGTTTTCTTTTTGTTAGCTACGCGTTCTTTTTTGTGACAATTTGACTTCTTTGGTTTTTATTTACAAAAGCATTTAGCATATACAGATACACACATATATATATGTATATAAACAATTAAAATACATATATATATATATAATTATAATGGGTAATATATTACTAGAGATATCAATAAAATTTCGTACACTGAGCCTTAAAATTAGTCATTGAGATACTTAAAAGCACATAAATTAAGCAACGCCTTATAGAGCTAACTAGAAGGGGCGGGGGAATGAATATCAACGACATGTGCCAAAATTAAATTATTTCGTACCTAACCTAACTTAATATATAGAAAGTCATATGTTGTCTACTTTCGCTGCTCAAAACGTGACGTCAGCGACGCAATATTCGACGACGCCTTCACGGTGGGCGGCGTGGGCGCGGTTGCCACAGTTGCGGATGCAGCTGCTCCCGGGGCACGCTTCGCGAGTCCGCCACTAAACGATGGCTTCGCCGACAATGGCTTGGGTTTCTGTATGGTGGCCGAGGGCGTGGCTGCCACGCCATTGGGCAGTGTTTTCGAAGTCCGCGTAAAGGACTTGGGACGCGCGGCGCCACCAATGCGCGTCGTCTGGGCAGCTGGAGCGGGAGTCGGTGCTGCCTTGATAGTAGTGGTGGTGGTGGTGCTGCTGCTGTTGTTGCTGGAGGAGCTGGTTGCTGGCGCTGGCTTAAAGCTGGAGAAGGCGCGCGATGGCGAAATGTCGGAGCGTGTGGGTGCCACACGTGCAACAGGAGCATTTAGGGTCGTGGCACGCATATAAGTGGGCGTCACTGCCGGCGGTTTGTCCTCCGTGCTGCTATTTCGATTGCTGCCTGCCGGCTTCGGTGGAGCCGGACGCTGTGGACTTCGGGGCGTTGCAGTCTGCTCCTCAACCACCACCTCTGGTGGTGGTGGTGCTGCTGCTGATGCTGCTTCTGGTGTTGTGGGTTTGCCCGAGTAAAGAGAATCACCGCCATTGAGTTTCTCAAACTCATTGACAATCTCGCCCAGCAAGCCCATATCGCTGCTAGTGCTGCTGCTGGTGGTGGCAACGAGATCGCTACGCTTAAGCGTCTGTGCCGCCGGCGGTATCTCCTCAATGACCGAGTAGATGGCATCGCTGGATGCACGCAATGGCTTCTCGATGAACTCACAATCATCGTAATTATTCTCGACGGTCGTCTGAGCGGTGGCCACTGGTAGCTGATAACCAGATGAGGTTGTCGACAGCGTCTTCTTGATCACGGGCGGTGGACGTGGTGGTGGTGATTTGGGTCGGGTGCCACCAGCGGCATTGGTGGTGGTTGAGTTCGTCACTATGCTTTTGGGACGCGCTGCTCCGGGCGGTGAGCGCATGGAGCCAAATGTTTGCGGCTGCGTCTTTCTGGTGGGCGAACGCATGGACTGTGTGCGCTTTACCAGATTCTTGGTTTCCTCCTCGCGCGGTGTCGTCTCCGAGTCCGAGTTGGAGGACTCGGCCTGTGGCGGCATTGGCACTGGCATCGGTGCCGATATTTCCAGCGTACGCAATCTCTCGCGATCAATGTACGTCTTCTCCTTCAGCGGTGTCTTGTCCTCCTTCTTGAGGAATGAGGCAAAGCGGCGGATGGTTCCATCTCGCTTCATATTCAGCTTGGGATCCGCATGCAGCGGCACCGGCGGCGCCGGTGCTGAGCGTGTCGGCGATAGATCTCCAGTGCTGCCCTTCAGTGGCACCATGGTCAGCGTACTGGAGTCGAGTGTCGGTTTGGATATGATCGGACGTGCCGTGCAGCCGGGATTCGGTGGTGGCAATGCTGGTGCCGCACGTGGCAATGTATTGCTTGTTTTTGTTTTCGTTGCTGCCGTCTGCTCGGGCGTTTTGACCACTGGCGGTGGCGGAGCCGATCGCTGTGGCACTCCATTGCTCTCCAGCTGAACCGTCGGCTGCACAAAGGCCACATTGGGTCCGCTGTAGTTGCTCGCCGGCGAGCTGGCATTGTTCAGTGGACGCAGCGTGAATCCTTTGAATTTACCAAACATGCTCGGCGCATTGGCAGCTCCACCGGCGGCGTCGCTCGAATCGCTCGGTGACTTTAGCAGTGCCGAGTTCATGTCGTCCGTACTGCTGGGAGTCGATTTGGGCAGTGCATTTGGGCCACCTGCACCACCTGGTGGACCGCCTCCATTTTGATTACTGCGCGAAGTTGGCTGTTTAATGGCGTTAGCGGTTTTCATGCTGCAAAGATAAAGCACAGGATTAGTGCTACTGGATCAAAGTGTGGCTCAGATGGATATATATTCTATTTGTGTTACATACCAAAACCAAAGCAGTGCAATTAAAAAACCAACACCGAAGGGGAAAGCTGAATAAAGTTAACAGAAACAAGAGAAACATGCAACAACAAAATGCTTAAGCTGCCCATATTTGCTCCAGGATTTACAACTGGGATTTGTAAACTAATCAATATCTTTAAAACAATAAATATCAATAAATGGTGTAAAATGATTAAATAAAAATATTCTTTTGTTGTATATGCAGCTGAATTACGAATTACTTTTACTAAAATGATGTGGGAATAATTTAGGATGTGCAATTCAACAATACAAAAAATACTTTTTTTTGTGGATCCAATTATTTGAAGATTAATAATACTTAAACAAAAACAGTTAATCAAAAAAATAATATTAATCATAAAAATAAGTCGCTCTTTGCTCATTTTAAAGCAAACTCTGTTTTGTATTAAATATAGATATTTTTGTATCCTCTTATATATGGGCGCTTGAGCATGCTTAGATAATATATAAAAAATATAAGATAACATACAAGACCAAGACCAATGCACAAGTACCATTAAAAATAAACATTTAGTCACATTTTATTTAAACTGAAATTAATTAAAAATAATGGCATAAACATTCCGATAAGCAAACTTAACACAAAATATGGGAAAAATGAGAAATGCAATAAGCAAAAGTAAAATGAGAACACAAAATGAAAAGTCTTCTTTTCTTAACATGCTCAAAGAGTGGGGCAGTGTTGTTGTTATTGGTATAGTTATTAGTTGTGGTTGTTATTGTTGTTGCAATTTGTATTGCTAGCTTTTGGCAAACCTCGCAGGGTCGCTCTGTATAAAGTGGGCACCCTCGGTGAGCGCCAATGGATTTGTGGTTGCATGCAGACGCGGAGCCGTAATGTCCAGCCTGCGTCGCATTGTGTTAGTATTATTACTGTTGTTTTTGTTGTTTTTGTTGTTATTGTTGTTGTGGAATGGAACTGGCGGTGGTGGCTTTGGTTCAAAAGCCGCAAGTTGTGTCGTGGAGAGCTTGCGACGCAAAAGAGGTGCATGCTTCACCTCGTTGTTGCTGTGACTCTTGGGCATGGCAGGCGGACGCACTGCTGCCGGATTGCCCGGACTGGACTTGAGACGTGGCAATGTGGCGTGTATGTTAGTAATTGTGGCGGTTGCAATGTTAGTTTGTGTACTTGATAGTTTTAGTGGTGGGGGTGGTGCAGACGTAGAACAAGTGGTGCTGGGTGAGCTAGCTGTAGAGCAGGAGGAGACGGCGGCGGCACAGAAAGCTGGATTCGAGATGCAACTGCTACTGTTGCAGCTGCTGCTCCTTCTACTGCTGCTGGACGTGGACGTCGATACATACATATTCTCAGCGAGTTTTCCACCGGCGAAGAGCTTGTTGTCCCGCAACACGAAGCGATAAACCAACCAGCCGATGAACAACAGGGGCAACACAAGGAAGAACAGAATGTACAGGAAACGCGAGATGCTCAGATTGCCTGCAAAGAGTAAGTACAAACCAAGAATTATTAGTAAGAGTCAGGCGAAGACATTTCAAAGGGAATTAAAAAGTAGAAATATTTACAATAGGATCTCTCCCATTAACATCAAAAATACTTACTGCTTGGATCTGTGGCTGGTCCACTGTCCACGGAGCCACCGTGTCCGGGCTTGCTGCATGACTCGCCACCGAATCCTACATCGCAGTGGCAATGCCCCCGACTGTTGCAGACACCGTTATCGTTGCAGTCGTCGGGACAGGTGGCACCCATGCCCTGTTGGCGCACACTCGCCACAGACAGGCACTGCTGATTGACGCACATGCTGTGTTCGCCACACTTGGCGCCATTGGGCGTCAGTCCAGGATCAATGGTCTGCAGACCAAGATCAACCAATGCCGTGCGACAAGCAACAATTTTTCGATTGTGATTGACATAGGAATGGGATAATACAGCGGCCGATTCCATGCCAAACTCCAAACGTTCATTCAAATGGATGCAGTGCAGCATTCCACAATGAACATGCTCCCGCGAGCACTTCACAAAGGTTTTATTGTGTCGATTGTAGCCACAGTTGCCCAGCCGGGAACCCTCCACATTCTTCTCGTAGCAGTGCACCGAGTTGTCGCCTGTCGGTCCCCACAGAATGCGGCACTGATTGGCATGCGACCGACAAGTGCCCTGGAAGCAGTACGCCTGATTATTATCGCATGGCTCCGTGTCACGACGAAACACATCTGCCGGGCAGTATTCCGACTCGCCGGTGCAGTACTCGGGCAGATCGCATTCGTTCTCCGAGGGTCGGCAAGCGCTGCCCGGCAGCTTGGGTCTGCATGTGTCGAGATCACAGCACTCGCCCGTGGCACAGGAGGCATTGCTGTGTAGCATGCAGGTGTGGGCATTGCAGCAGCTATTCTCACAGTGGGTGGGCAAACCACAGTCGCACTGCTCGCCGGGCTCTACGAATCCATTGCCGCACTGCGGCGATTCGAATAGCTTGGTGGGTTTATTTCTTAGGCAATAGTTCATGCCACGGGAGAAGGCAATGGTCAGCTGATCGATGCTGCAGCTGCTCCAGTGCACCGGCACCACAGCCGTACTCGAGGCGGCCATCACGCATTTCTCGTCCGGACAATGACAATCGCTCGAGTCGTGCTCCATGCCAAAATTGTGTCCCATCTCGTGAGCCATTGTGGTGGCGACCACGGCCAACACCTGACTGTGCTGCATGCTAACTCCGCCAGAAAACTCATACGTGCAGATGGGTCCCTTTAGGGCCTTGCCCACCACTCCACCTGCAAATGTCTCTTTGGTCAGCAGCTGTGCATTGTCGTTCGGATGCTCCACCACCAGCTTGGTGCTGCGATAATTAAGGAAGTTGCGAAGGGTAACATCGCCATCACTGGAGAACTCAATCTCATTTGATTCATTCCAGATGACCACTCCCACAAGAGCCACAAAGATGTTCAGCGGCACATAGAGCTAAGAAGCGATAGGATCAAGGATTAGTTAATCAACTTGTCTGCTGCTGATGATTCAGTCTACTCACGGCGTTGATAATGTTGGCCAGATCCTTGCAATGCTGATGCACTCGCTTGGTATTCTCACCGAAATGCTTGTACACCTTGTTGTCCACGACAATCACCAGCTCCACATAGCTGGAATACTTGTCGGCATTGTATGGACCACGTATCAGTTGACTCTCATCCGTGTGGCGTCGCTGGCGTCTCAGCATGCGTTTGATTTCGCCGCCATCCAAGCGATGTGGCAGCTTTAGCTGCTTCAGCTCCTGCTCTGGTTCTTGCTCTGACTCCTGCTCCTGCTCCTGCTTATGTTCCATCCCGCTCTGCTCGTGTGGACTGTGGTTGTCAGTATGGCTATCGTAGCCACAGGTGGCATTCTGCTGCAAGATGTCCGCGTGTCTGTTATCCAAACAAGAAAATAAATATATATTTTTGTTGAGTAATTTGATATTTCCGCGGCCACAAATATTAATAACGGAAGTGCGAGTCGTAAACGGGCGGGCCTCAAGACTCAGATATGGCAACTAAAAATGGGCAGACTAATAAAGCAAATGTTTATTGAACGCAAATAAGGCAAACATTGAGGCAGCTAACTCCGGAGTTTTGCCCTGCCCCTGCCACTGGCAACAGTGGAATAAGCGACCTTTCTATAAGATGTGTGTGCGTGATATTTCCACATTCAGGTGAATGCGTTCAAATTAATAGAAATAGTAAGTGCTGAGAAAAGTAAATTGAAAATTGCCGCAGTTTTATATTGGAAAAAAGTCAAGATTTTATTATAATTTATGTTAAACTTGAATTGGACTATAATATACCATATTTAACATATTCTTGTTTCGGTTTTAAAGTGCTTGCAGTTAATAATAGCTGAAGGGATATCTTTGTAACGATTTCAATATTGACTGCGGAGCGCTGTAACTGATTTCTGCAAGAAACTCTTTATTTAACTCTCTCTTCGTTGTCCGTTAGTTTCTGTCGTAACTCACCTGAGCAGATAATGGTCATCCTGCAGCCGTCCGCTGCCATTGCTGTGTGGGTGAATGAAATACGTGTCCTGGCCATCGAAGACAACCCCATTCAGTGCGCCATCGCAGGTGGCTAGTGCCACTCTTGAATCTGGCCGTCCGCGTATGTGTCCCTGGTGAGTTGCAGATAATTGTGAAAACGAGCCATAAAACCACACACACACTAACAAACTCACCTGATAATGGCATAAATCAACGTCAGTCTTGGTAAAATTGCGCACCACATAGCCGGAGTCGCCTTCCAGCTGGTTGCTGGCATTCTGATAGCGCAGGAAGTGGGCTTCGGGGAGGAGGCGATCGTTGCGCTGCAGTTCGATTTGGATGCGTTGTCCTTGGTGCGTGTAGCTCAGTGATAAGCTCGGCGCATGCAGACCATCCTGGAATACCAGCAAACAGCAAGATAAACCCATTAAAAAGATTTCAATTTGATTTATAAATGGCTTCATTAAGTTTTGACATGCAAAGTATGTGGACACACGCCAATCCATCCACACACCCAATTTCCCAGGTGCGAATGTGTTTAATTCTAGGACATGGCGTGGCATGAATATCATTTATATTATTTAGTATCTCGTTTCTGTGCAACTAATTAAAAAGCTTTGTTTTCTGTGCTTATCTGAGGCACACCCACTCAGTTTTGTGGAAATTCGGGTACAAATTCTAAAATATTTGATAATTTTTTGGTTTGCGTGGATAGTTTTCATAATTTTAATTTCTAATAACTACTCCAATTACTTACCGTTGCATCCAGAGTGCCTTGCAGGCTGCGCTTAGTGCGTCCATGTTGCACTTGGGGGCGTATCACAGTGTGAGTTGAAAACTCATTAAGGGCAGGAAAATAGTCACCAATGTGTGCTGCAAATACACAAGTTCCAGAAAAGAAACAATTAAGTATAGGTAAGCGCAGACGATTAACACACATAGAGCTGAGCTGTAAATATAACCCCAACACATGTATCACACATGAGTGTACGGGGGGCACTCCCAAAAGTTAGGAACACGGCCAACAAGCATGACAAAGACAAATCCGCAACGAGTGAAACTCTGTCGCTGACTGAAAGGTGTCTCTAATGGGCTTAAGTTTCAAACTCAAAATGCTGACAACTTGAGCCCATAATTAAGGCAAAGAAAATGCTTTAGCCTGATAAATATATAGGATGCTTGCATTGTTGTTTGCTTTGGCTATGCTCTCAGTCAGATGCTTGATAAGATGCAAGTACATGTGTAAGTATCGAATAGACTATGAAGCACTATAAGCAACACTCGAGTACAGCATCTCGACGGCATCTTTGCCCAATGACTGATGGCTGATATATTAATGGCCCTGAGCAGTGCTAAAATTAGCAAGTTCATAAATTAAGTACTATGTGATACAGATTTAGGTCTCTGTCCATTATATGTTGGCGTACGAGTTCTTGAGCTGACTGTTGTAAAAGGCGCAAAGACGCGTCTAATTAACAGCCAGAGCAGATGTCAGACATGCAGCAGAGCAGTCGTTTTGGCTTGTTGTATCTTGCAGATACATTTTAAGACATTTCGCACATGCGTGGGCAGCACACACAGCCCCGCCACATACACACATACCCACACACACACACACACACACACACTCGGGGGGCACAAGTGGCCGTCGCGTCACCTCGAAGCGTATTCATCCACTCACATGGCCAACAGCGCAACGAGAGAAAAATAAACATAAAACAAAACAATAAGTCTGAGCACAAACAATTTCGGTTGCCCCCTTAAAGAAGAAAGCATCTTTCAATTTTAGCCACTGCTGCCAGACTTAGCAGCATCCAGACACGACCAGCCACCCTGCTGGAAACAGTGAGAGAGATCTGCGACGTCGATATTGCTGTCTCTGCATATGCAGGAAGACCCTTTCCAAAATGTCACACGCATCATGGCTTTTTCCCTTATTTTTGTATCCTAATAAATGGTTTTGTTGAATGGATTTTCTTCATCCCATATAAATTTGCGATCAGGAATAAACTTCAGGGAAAAAGTAATTAGTTAAAGTTGGTTGAAAAACTCATTTGACTTAAAAATATTTTTGATTCATATTTTATTATATTATGTTATGCTTAAAAAAAGAAGTTACCTCCATGGGAATTGTTTTTGATTTATTATACATAAAATTCAAAATATGATTAACGAAATAAAAATAATGACTGCAAGGATATTCAGGTGTTTTTGTTTCATATTTAGCTAGATCTAATTTTATTATGGTATGATTTTCATCCATAATACAAATAAAAAATCAGTCACGAAACAAAACTAATATGATTGGAAGGGTATTAAATCTTCGATATCATAAAGTAGTTTTTTTTTAAATTTATTTTTATAGTACGCAACGTTTAACACAGAGTTCGATGAAAAGTTGGCAAGTTGTATAATTTCTTTTACAAGCAGACTTCTTATCCTTTTGGCTTATTTCCTTGTTGTCTTTATCACCATTAGCCACTGAGTCACAGTTAACGAAAATGACTTAAAAAAAAGATGAGGTGAAAAAGGGATTAAATAATTTAAAAGTAAAAAGATTCCCTTTACAAAGTTCCAATATTATTATTGATGAATAACGAAATAAATATTCTTCAATAAATTAAATCAATATAGCATTAACTATAGTTTCTTTAATATTTACCAAGGTATTTTTATTTCAAAATTCTGTGTTTGAGAATCAGTTTTATTATATTTCAAACGTCGAACATCTGTTTACCGAAAATCATTTGCCACTCTTCATATTCTCAATCGTAATTAAATCGTCTTTAAGGAATTTTATTTAAATTAGGTATTTTTGTATTATTCGCAATTTGTTTAGAAATTTACCATATGGTTCGTGCCATTTTTGCGCTAATTCGATTCCTGATGCGGAAAACACAATCATTAGCAATGAAAATTGAAATGGAATTATATATGAAAATGTCGGAGGTTGGGAAAGAAGTGCCTAATCAATGTCTTAAAGGCGTTAATGACTTGCAGACTAATGCATATGCCCTTAGGACATCCAAGCATTGGTAATTATAGTAGTCGAACATGGGAGTGAGCATTCTTTCCAGTAAAGTAATTAACCCAAACGAAATTATGAGTGATTGATAGTTTAAGCGACTAATGAGCCGCTTACTCTGTAGAATTTATTTCTGTTAAAAACAATTGGGAAATTGTCATCCTGTTATATACATGTATTCCTGATGAGACATCTATAGATATTAAATTTTTATACGGCACGGTATCTATTAATCGTGCATTGTTATCTCGTGGACTGTTACTTGTTGGCCTATCTGGGATTTCTTGGTTGCTGAGTCGTGCTGTATTTTAAAAATAGCTGCAAAATGTTTTATCAATTGATAAACGACTCTGATAAGCGCTGCAGTCATATAAACACACACAAATATATATAAATGTGAAAATGTTTGGAACGCGAAATGAGAAGTCATAAAAGCAGACACACAAATGCCATGACACAAGAGTTGAGAGCAAACGGCGCCAGGAGGCGTCACAAGGACCTTTTGTAGTGGAAAATCATCAAAACTAGAGCACAACAAACACAAACACAAACAATAGAGGAAACATGATGCCAGAGACAGCGGGAAATTATCACACGCCGCGCCTCGAGAGCTGAGAGGTCGTGCTCAAAACCATATGGCTGGAAACGGGACGGGAACGTGAACGCGAACGGGTACGGAGGGAGTATTCTAGTCTAGGCGCACGTCCATCAGCGTCTCCGGTCATGCAGCTGATGAGATTGAAGGTCTAAAAATAAAAGAGGAAAAAAGCAGACGCGGCTTTTTGACGTTTTGACGAACTCATGTCGTCGCGCACTTTGATGATGGTGATAATGATGGTGCCAAGGATTTGCTATGTGGCAGGATGGGTTGTGTCAACAATGCAGCGTTTACTGTATTTGTTTGGACATGCAGTCGAATTTGTTTTGTGTGCCTCTTCAATACCAGGCAGGGGGTACGGCCAGGGCAAAGCCTGTTATATCTTATTGTCTCACACAGCCCGCAGATGCTGAGTGAGGAATCTCAATTGATTTCTCTCATGCAAATCCCGAAAGCGGCAGCCATCACTTGCCACTTGTCTACCAAACTCCCCGCTTAAATACACAAGTACAGTTTAGAAGGGAGGGTGGAGTGTGGGTAGTTCTCTGTCGATCTCTTGATAGTCATATAACAATCAACAGCGCATACAAAAATTTATATTTATAACTTTTCGCTGTCGTAAAAAAATGTATATTATAGTAGAGATATTAAAAACAACAAAAAATAATGCGACACTTGAGCAGGCGACAAAATTGTGCATTGACAATTGACAAACTGAGCCCATATACTCACAGACAAACACACAAACACACAAACTCATAGTCACCCCAGTTATTATGAATGGTTACACAAGGCCAATTAAAATGGCACTCAATACACGACTCTCAATTTGAATGTTTTCCATTTGAATGATGAAAAATGTGTGCGCTTCAAGTGGGGGGAAGGAAGAGAGAATGAGGAGAGGGGAGTGTGATGCGTTTCTCAATCATGGCCAAAGGCATTTAATATGAATGCTCATCTGTTGGAAAAATTATAATGCCAACGAAAAAATGCCAAACTCAATTAAAAATGCCCCATTTGGGATAGGAAAGTTGCAGCATGCAGCAGGCAGCAGTTCCATAAAATTTGTAACACTTCACGGTAAAGTTTCAACGCCTGCCGCGGTTGCAGTGCATCAAGACATTTATAGAATCCGGGTAAAAGGGCATAAATATTCTACAAAAAGCTGGCAAGCTCCATAAACAGATTAGCGGCAGCTCCCTGAAGTGTGAGTGCGGGGGCAGCGCAAGGGCCAGAAGTGGATTTGGAGAAGGAGAACTGTTGCTGCCCATGTATACACTCAGAGAAATGGAAATATTCCAATATAACTGAAAGTTTCCGTTGTCGTTAACGTGTGAGAGGAATAAATAATGTATTATAAATTCGATAATCGGCTTATGTTTCTAGTCGAAATATGCAAAATTCATTATGCAATTTATTTCGAAGTAAAAAAAGTGAAGTCCGTTTGTCTACATTCTATGGCGTATGTGTTTTTTTGAGTGTAGTGTAAAAAGGGCAAACGATCCATGGATATGGCAAATGCATTACTAATGCTTTTCTTCAACGTCTGCGCGTATTTCAAATCGAAATGTGTGCCTAATTGATAAACAAGACGGAGACGGAGGCGGAGCCGTAGACGAAGCCGTAGACGAAGTCGTAGACAGAGAGAAGAAATAGACGTAGACGAAAGACGAAAGAGGCAAGTAAACTTTTTTATGCCACAATTTATTTGTGTATACATTTTCCTTCAAACTCGGTCTTGAAGTTTTTCAACTTTTCTTTTGTGTGTGATTTCGGTGTTTTGTTTTAGTGCCAGCGCATAATTGAATAATACAACAATTCTCAATTGTTTTTTGTGCGAAGCATTTAACTCTTACACCAAACGAAACGAAACGAATCGAAGCGAGAGGCAATAAAAATGAAAATGAAAAACCGAAACCAAACAAACTTGGAAATAAGAGACCCAAAACACACATACACACTCCATATCACATTAGCACACATAAAAAGACACCAAAAACAACACAGCACAATTCAATTAAAATGTTTTCCACTGTCTGCACTTGGCAAAGGAAACGCTTTCATTTAAAAATCTCAATTTAAATTGGACAACGTTAAGAAATTTTAATACATTTTATGAGTAAACGATTATTTTTTGAGTATCATAAAAATTGAAGTGCATTTTTGAGAAACTCAAGAGATCAAATATATCGTAATTTAAATAAAGTGATCATAAAACGCTCTGATAGCAAGATATTATCGCTAAATTAC